CCATGCAAGTGCGCTTGCATGGGTTGGTTAATCTCAGAGTTGCCAACTTATTAGGTTTTTTAACATTCTAGATATTTTTTTATAATCTAAATATCGTTTCAGTGGGGACTGGAGGCCCTTTGTTTTCTGGAGGCCCCTGGGCTGCAGCCGAAAAAGCCCTTAGGTAGATCCGCCCCTGCCAATTACGCGCCAAAAGACGACTCAATTTTCTACATTATTTTTTTAACTATATAATAAAAAAAGGATAAACAAATTGATGCCTAACTAATGGTTAGTAGTAACCGTGGCCTATATACATGATCGGACTACGGACATCACGTTATCATGTGGCGCCCGTGATACTATTTATGCGTTGCCATTCCGGATGCCTAGACATTATGTCCTATAATTTCACTGCCTTATCTCTACCTTTCCAAAACGCAGATTTTCTACAAAATACACCACATTCTGAATATATATATTGTACAAAATTTCATAAATGAAATAGTGTAATATCTATTATTCTTTTACGTTACTTGTGAATCTATACTAAGTAGGTATAATAAAACTCCTAACATACTATTGGTACATTAAATTTTTAATTAAATTTAAGTACCGACACATACTCCAGTGATATTTTTTTTTGTTTAATTAGTACTAATTTCATTTTTTCAACTAAAACAAATATTTGGTTTCGAAACAAAATTGGATAGAAGTTACTTAAAATTTTCTGTCATTGAATATTGCTGTAAATGTTTTTTTATTTATGCACTTAGTAAGTGGTTATTGTTGTAAATAGTTTGTCTATTATAAAATGTATTGTCATGTTATATATGTAGCTTATGCATGATGGAATAGCAAAAAACAAAACCTCTTCATAAACTTTCACATTTACAACATTAGTAATATCCTACTGCGGACACTAAATTATAGACTTTATTGTAGTTACTTACGATTGATTGTAAGTTACAATAGATAACTCATAGGTGTTGGGATAATCATTAATTGATTAATCAGGTGAGTGTGTAAAAATCGTTTATAACAAAGCAAAATTAAAACTCATACAAATTCGATCTTTATTTAGACGAAAACAAGGTACAGATCGGATAATCGCTATATTAAAAAAAACGGCTCTCGTAAGAGCTACTTTTCGACATCACCATATATCGTGCGACATATTTACAAAAGCGTCAGTTATGTTCTTCAATATAGAACAACAAACATATTCAATATTTCTCAACTTTGGATAAATTCGGTACTAAATAATTGTACGTTACGGTTTTTCTTTTTCATAAAATTGGAATAGTACATTCAAACATTTCGGCCAGTATAATATTTATGTAGAATTTGTCAAATATTATCATTCAAAACTTCAACATTATTAAAAAACTTAGCACATATTAATATCATCTAAAACCCTTTGATTCCTTTTCATCACTATAGAGAGGTATTTTTGATACTTTAAATTTGTGAAAGCTAAGGGAAATATGATTGAATATAGCGTATAAGTACTGACAAACATACGTCATTTGTGGTCGTCAGTCGATCACAAATACACATTTTCATTATATTAAAAATATTTTTTCTTCATAAATTGTACTATTTACAACACTAGTCGAGACAAAAGTGGTCATTGGTAACAATCAATAATTGTAATGTAAAAAGCATAAATAATTATACAATACAGCATGTAACAAGTAGGGTATTACAATCGATTTATTGATCTCACATTTCATTTTAATAGCTTTTTTCTATGGTGCCTGCCTATTAATTAAGTCATCATTGTTTTTTCCGTTATAATATTAGATACAGATACCGTCTCATTTTAGTACAGTAATGCCAAAGGTGCGGACCGCAGGCCGCATCAATAAGGCCCGCAAATCGCAATGTGTTACAGAAAGAAGAATTATGTTTTTTAAAGCTTTCAGACACTCTACGGAAGTTTTAATTTAGTACATTTTTTTTATTAGAATCGGTCCCGCCTACACCTTATAAATTTAATGTATGGCCCTCTGCAAAATTGTGTTTGAGACCTCTGTTTTAGTATCTGTTGATACAAAATAGAAATATTTTATTCAAATATTATTATTCTCAATTTATTAGTAATTGAGAATAATAATATTTGAATAAAATATTTGTATTAATTACTTTTCGTTTCTCAGTTTGGGAAAGGTAATCTTAACAATGTCACAGAATAAAATTTTTAATGCAAACTATAAAGTTAAATGAAAAATTTAGTATGCGACATTTTTCTTAAATTTTAATTATTAAGATGATGCCAAAGTTTAATTGTGAGTTATATCATCACATTTTTGATAAAAGTTATTCAATAAAAGAATACCATTACTGTATTACAGATTGCAACCCTTCGCGTTACATCCTGCATTATTATAACAAAAAAAATAAAAACATTGTGATGTTTGTTCGCTAACAACTCAAATTCACACGAGTTTAAAAAATAAAACATATAAAAACAGACCTGCACACAATACGATACATACATCTATAAAATCAATCATTGTGTCATTGACGAAAAGCTCGTAGTTTTATTATAAAACAATCTTATATATCGAAAACTGTCATTAACAGCAATATAAAATGTAATCAACACAATATAATAATTACGTGCAATTTTCATTTGCATAATGATAATTAAAGCAAATCTTAAGAGAACTACAAAAATCTCAAATGTTTAGGAGCGTCTTCGCCGTAAAACTTGCAACGTCATTAAAAAATAACTGTTAATCCTACATTTAACACTACTATGAATACACGGCTCAATAATCTAAACTGGCTGACAGGCAGACTGATTCACGTCACCATTGAAAATAAGATACCCATTTATAAAACCATAATAAAAGTAATCTGAACATACAGCATTGAATTATGGGGATAAGCAAAGAAATCCAATGTAGATATTTTACAACGGTTTCAGAATAAAGCATTCAAAAGTATAACTGCTGCACCTCTATCATATAAAAATAATCAGAAAAAAGACAAAAGTAAAGTAAAATAAGGCAGTTTCCTCACTGGAGGTAAAGTTCACTCTCATCTACAGAATCTGCTAAAGGCTTGATAAGCCGATTGCAAGATATGGATATGGAAAAAAAAATAGTAGATACTATTAGATTTCTATAATATACCATAACTACAAAAATGTCAGATAGACCAATTAGAGACAATATCAAATTGTTTTCAGAGAGAACATAGCATATTATTTAAAAAAAAAAAGTAATAAGATCAGAAACTAAGTGACAACGAAGTATTGCGAATATTGGAATGTGCATACTACTGGCATGGTTGCCGTTTATAAGACAAGCATTTTAAAATATGTATATATTATTTTTCGTGTTCTATTCTATATGTTCTTATGTTATTCTATCAAATTGGCTTATCTGTACCAGAGGTAAGGGAATTCTAAACATGTCCATAAGTAATTTTAGTGACACTGACAAGCATACATACATATGCTATGCTATTCTATGCATATGCTATATAAACATACATATGTAGTACATAATAATATGTTTGCAGTGCATACGTATGTTTATTTACTAGTCACACAGACAAAATCTTAGATTTTCTATAAATTGTCCAATCTTGAAAAAACAAATGCATACTAATATTATAAATGCAATAGTACATTTTTCTATCTTTACGACTAAACGGATAAACAGATCAAATTTAGCATGAAGATAGATTATACCACGAGGACAGACATAGATTGAAATATATTGAATTTCAAATAGAAACAAGCAAATTCGCGAAGTCAGTATTTATATCAATACAAAAAAAATGTCGTAAAGTTCTGATGTTCTTTTCGTATCCTTATGATTAAGACACTTTTCAACTACAAGACGGAGAGAGAAGCCGGTGTAGATTTATTCTTTAAAACGATTTCTATTAAATAGCTTTTGACTTCAACCAGCAATTCATTATGCCAATTAATAACGTATAAAAATTATTTTGTATAGTTTTATGTTTACTTATAAGCTCATGTTATATTTATTTATTTTTTTCGTTGCAAATTTTACAGGCGTACCAGGTATACCACGCAACCACAGCAACTATTAACTTAACAAAAACTATGTCATTTGAACAAACTAGATACAAGTCATATTGTAGAGACCAAACTTCAACACCATACCCTTATGAATACATCTTATGTATATCAAAAATCTATACCGTACACAAAATACGTCACTTTATACTTACAACTAAACTCTAAACATTCACCAAAAATATTGGGTGTGCACGTGACTTCTAATATATTAAAGTTTTTCAAACGGTCCAACGGTTACGCGCATGCCTTAATTAAACAGTTTTGTTAGCACATCACAGATCATCTAAACAACTTAGTTAAATTGCATGAACTCTGCGTTTTCGTCCTAAAAATTAAATATACGAGTCAATTTTTAGGACGAAAAAGTAATATCACACCTTTATTAAAAATAAAATACTATCACAACATAAAAGAAAAAAGTGAAATCATTTTCGTTATCATTCTTATATTTTCTTTTATTTCATTTAAGATTCATTATAATTTTTATTAATGAATTATACTTTTGTGATCAATTCCATAAAATAATATCCAATTATAAAACTGAAACATTTGTCAAAAATATATGGTAAACATAGAGCAGACTTACTTTAAGTAATTATAATACAAAAGTAGTAAGGAAGTAACTAACATATCGTTATCATGCGTGTATAAAGCAAACCAATACAACTGCTTTAAAAAAATGCACGTTAAAGCATACTTTATATATGATATTAAAACGTGTTTTTACTGAATAAGTTTATGGAATTTAAACACACGCTTCTTCTATACACCAGAGCGTTGGAGTTGATAACAATAATAAATTATAGAATAGTATATTATTTTACAAAATTATCAAATTCACTGCCAATTTATTGAGATAACATACATTTATAAACAAACCGAAATGTTTAGATCATACTTTATATATTCGGCAATACAGTTACTGCAAGGTAACATTGAAACAAATTGACGTCATCCCGACCGCCGGCCGAACGGGTGCAACTAAAATATTTAGACAGTGATTCATGCAATTCCACTAATCAGGCACATCAAACTAACAAAAAAACAGCCTCGCCCATGCGCCGTCACTCGAACCCGCGACCTACACGCTTACTACTAATATAAATTAACCTCTTAACATACAACTAACATATTTAAACTTATATTACAAAGAAAAGCTATCCCATTTGGCTTCTTTCAAGTTGAACCGTAATTATGTCTTGTTATATTTAATCTATATTATTTTAGTACAAAAATGCCTTAATTTGGTATCGCTGCTAGTAAAATTCGTATATCATTTGTTTATGGAACCGTCTAACTCAGACTCGTGAGCAAACAGAAATCCGACGCGATTACATATAATCGTTATAAATATACTAATTACCTTACATATTAATATTTAATTTGTTTTGTGAAAATATTTTAGTGAGATCCCTTTATATATGTTTATTCCATCTCAATAGTGTTATATAACTATATTTTACATTAATACTTACTATTTGTATCTATTTAGTTGTTAGTATAAATAAACACAAGACATAAATCATCAGTTCACCTTTTTTTATTCTCGAGCGATACAATTTTTTAAACTGTGCAATGTTTGTCAAATCCCATACTTAACGATCTATCAATACCAATTCCAAACAATAAAACTCCAGCAGTCTTCTGGAAGACGAAACAAAAAGAAACAATTTGGAAGACGAGGCCGAAATTGAAAATATATTTTTTAAATTAAAACAAATATCATAAATGCAAGTCTATGGCAAACAAATGTAAATAACCACTTTTTAAAACTAAACAATAAGTCACTTTGTGATGTGTATACCAAATCCTAGACATTAATAAAGAATAAATCTCTTCTTTTCTTTTTGTCATATATAATATTAAATTCTATATAAAAACATATGTAACATGTAAAAAATAAGGTTACTGTAATATTTAAGAAAATATTAACTGCACTTACAATTGTTCATTTATTTTTATATTAAATATCTGGATTATATATATTTCTGCTTTGCAAGTACACTGATATCTCCATACCAATATTTTATCCAACAGACCGTATTATGCAGTGTACTCCCAAAACCAAACCATGGTGAATTAAACATGCACCGTCTTAAAAACTCGTGTACGATGGCACATACTAAATGTATATATGTAGTATATTTATGTAAAAGAATCCATCATATTTTACTAATATCTAAACCTCAATTATTCTTGTTCCTGCCATTTCATATTCAACTTTATTCTTAGAATTGTATTAATTGATTTTATTTATAAAATTTGTAAGAAAATTGCTGTTATTAAAGTTATAGCTGAAACGAAATTTCCTAATTTACTTACTACTTAATATTATGACAGTTACATTTAATATGCAAAATAAATTTTATGTTGTTGTCTATACAGAGAGGTATAGAAGATAGTTACTGAATATTTAGTATTATTTTCAGATTAACCCTTCGGCATTTATCTATCAAATGCTACTGACTATAACTTGACACTGGTAGCTTAGGCATCAATATCTTCTATTTAGTTTTTTTATAGGCTCTATTTGTAACAGTTTCAGCTAACATATAAAAAATCAATAAAATTAGAAAACTTAAGATAAAAGTTATGGCAACATCAAAAGGTTGTATTACAAGGAACTAGCGCATAGCGAAGCGCTCGAAAAGTTAATAAAAATATCTTCTGTTAAGTAGATATCTGATCTGATAAGCAAGTACTCGAAAAATATTCATATTAGCAATGAGCGAGACTACTTGAACAGATATTCTGTCTCCCTCACACTGATACAGTATCGAGTGAATTATTCACTTTACATTTTGCTGTATATATTAATATATAATTTAAATCCTTTTACACAAATATACTGCACTTTAATTAACATATACACAACCAAACTTCACTAACTGGCACTTCATATCAATCCTCACTATCCATTCACAGCGACACTGGTCGTCCACAAAATTGCACATATAGTCTTATGAGTGTTCGCTCGAAGGCCTCAAAAGAAGCCGATCAACTCCTACTCGATGTTGTTCCGGGGTCCATCAATCGGCATTGTATGTAGCACCTCATCCAACAGTTGTAATGCTCTGGAAAATGACATGTATACTAACACTATATTACTATACGTCAAACTTATCTATGATATTCGGAATTCCATTCTTTTATAACTTTGGTAGAGGTAGAATGTGTACTTGTAGTGGTCCCACCTGTTAGCCCACAAGTAGCTTTCTCTGTAAACTATATTTTGGTTGTAGGGCACAATTAAGCACTGAATTTACATGATAAAAGGCATCTTAGTCCTCTGAAGTGGCAGCAAAGGAGAGGTATGAAGGTTGTCACATGATAATGTGATGTCCGTATTATTGTTCACACATACAGGCTTGTTTGCCAATTTTGTTACATAAAAAAAATTGTAAATAATGTTTGGAAGGAAATTAATATAAAAATTCTAAGTGAAGCTTACTAGATGTACACAAATGTATATTAAATATTACTTGAACAGGGATCCAAAAATATAACAAAGTGTTTCTCTAGCGTTGTGTTACTGCCAATATTAAATGCGATGGCGAAGATTGTCACTTCCCATCGTATATTCAGTAAAATATATAATTCAATGTAGTTTAGCATACCTGTGTAGGTGAACCTCGACCCAGCATGGTGTCTCCTTTATAGATGTTCGAGGGTAGTCGGGTCCCCAGCCCTTGACGAACGACAACCGCACTATGCACAGCCGCCGAAGGTCATCCACTCCTATACCTGCCGCCGCTGTTAGACCTAACACATTAATTTATATACTTTTTAGGATATAACATAAGATACAGCAATGTGCTTTTATATATACTAATGGTCTTACAAGGACGGAGAGAAATAGAGGAGGACGAGTTCATTGTAACATTATAAAATTGTATATATAAAAAATATCTAATTCACTTAAATATTAAAAAATTTAAACTATATATACCTATATATATTGAATTAATAATGTTGTATAATATTTAATTAAGTATGTCACTTAATATTCTGAAATAGTATAATAACATTTTTTAATTAACAATATCTAATTAACAAGATCTATAGATTTTTTATCATTTTTATCTTCATTCACTGAAAGTGGTAGGCGTTTATATATGTTTATTGATGACAACAGAAGACTATTTGAATGTAGGACCAACCTAGTCAAAATGTTGAGAGGTAATCAGGTAATTAAGAGATCTATAATTTTTATCCTCTTTTAATGAAAGTGGTAGGTGACCATATATGTTTATTGATGACACCAGAAGGCTATTATGAATGTGGGACCAAGCTATCGGAAATGTAGAAAGAACCCAAAAGTAAAGGTTTTTACGTTTCAGTAAATACTTTATCAACCATAAAATTATTCGTGTTAAAACACGTTTAACTGTATTAATAATAAAAGTGATTTTACAAACAGGTAACAAGTGCGGTGTACTCACACTTGTTGATGCCGGCGTGTTGTGGCTGAATATGTCCGGCGACTGCTGCGGCCTGTGCGGCGGCGGCCGCCTGCGCTGTGGCTGCCTGGTTCTGCATCTGACGGTGGCACTGCCGCAGGTCGAACACCTGGACCACACGATTAAATAAATAAATAACACTAGACAATGACCACAGTGCCATCAGTTCCACTGTAAGTAAAGCTTGTGTTATGGGTACTAGACAACTGATATAAATACTTACATTCTTTTTGTAAATAATACATAATATACATAGAAAACATCCAGATCATATAAACAATCATACTCATGAACAAAAATGTTTACACCGTGCGAGGCTAGAAAAATTAGAAATTAGAAAGTTATTAAAAAAATTAAGAAAGCTATTAACCTCACTAGTATGGAAACAAACATGTTTCTGCTAACTAAGACTATTCGAAAAAAAGAAAACCTTCACCACAAAAAAAATCAGCAACAACCGCGGGCCTTGCGAGGCCCACTGGCACATGCAACCTCTAGTCACCTTTATGCAAGCGGAGGGGTATATCTTATGGACGGCGTCGCCGGGCGCTCGGCCCGCCTCCCGGTCCAGGTAGTACGACTGCACGAACACTGAGTGGTCCGACAAGCAGCGCAGCCACACGTCGCCCTCGCCGCGCAGGTCTAACTGCACGCCCTTACCGATGTGCAATCTGCGGAACCATGTTTGTTTCTTCAAGTGGCATATGAATATATACAAAATTAAAATTAAAAACTATACTAGTTTAGTTTCTTGGTAATATTAGTATATGTTTCGTTTTATCATTTTTGTTGTCGCATTGAGTAACTCATATTAACCTGTTTATAAACTGTGAATGGATTGATGCCAATGTAATTCATTTCTAATTTTGCACTAAATTGAAATGTAAATCACTGCAGACCTTGCAGAGTTATATTATAAGGTATCTTATAAATTTAGATAAAGAAGAGAAAAAAATGTATTGTACGTATTTTTTTTAATATATACATATATATATAATACTCACCTTGCTCGCTCGCTCTGTTCTGTTCTATGAACATTACTAAGTGCTCCCAAACAGAATCTGTTACCACCAGATGGATCCACATAACCGTCCACCTGTACAATTTTTTTTAAATTATAATAATTTTATCTATATTAATTATAATAGTATAAAAATAATATTGAAATCCTGTATATGAAATTACATTAATTTACATGATAATTATTAATTAAAGACAATACTTCTGTATTAATTTATATACTTCTGTAATAATTAGAAGAAAATATACATATACCTCATGATATATTATCTTTAATATTTATATATATATATATATATATATGTTCTGTATATATATAAACTCACAAAAATGCTTATACCTAGTTGAAATAGTATCATAAATTAATACATATCATAACCACAATTCAATATTAGCTTACAGTGACATTAGGTCTACTTGAAGGTACTTTGAATGTTTCTCCAACTTGCGTGTCGAGTTCAAAGTATGCCACGGAACACCAGTATTCAGGCGCCGGCTGACTGGAGAGCAGACCACCAGGGTTGCCATTAACTGTCGAAATCAAAACGAATTTAGTATAAAATATTTACACTACATAAAAGTATTTACTGAACTCTAAAAATTAAACTGTACTGTTAGGCACATTGATTATGGAATGAAAAGTATAATCCATTACATTTAAAATAAGTATTCTTGTTGCTAAGTAACAAGTCTTGTGTGCAAATGTGACGAATTAAAGAGTAAACTATATTTATTGCTGTATATCCACTGAATATCTCTCCCTTCTTTGTCCTAATATGTATATATTATTAAGAGGTAAAATTTGTGAAGTTATAAGAGGTAATCTCTGGAGCCGATTTTGACAAATGTTTTTGTGTTGTGTAGTACCTTTATCGAAGAAGGCATTATTGTGACGCAAACGATGTATTATTAGATAGGACACAGTTGAAATTATCATTGGATTGTCGAAGTATACTTTAGAAATTTTTAACACATTGTGCGTTGTTTTGACTAGTGAATATTATTAGCTATCAAGCAAACTTCCGACAATTAATGTGACCCATTCACTATATCATATAAAAGATATTGGTCTGTGTAGCATTACAAAAAGTCTATTATATCCAATGAACCAGCATTTGTGTGATTTTTTGACTTTTACATATGAGGAAGAAGACGTAAAAGATCTGTAGTTAAGAAATTTCATAAACTCCGCTATTCTGCCAACGGATTCGATTTGATCTTATATTTTTGGTGCTGGGGCCAGACCAGACGCACAGGAACCAAATTCGAGTATTCTTTAAAATATGCAAAGTATACAGAAGATCACAAGGATTGCGAAAAGATGAGCAAGCGGTGGCGGCGGTGCATAATAAAGCCAAGACATTTGTATGCCTTAGTAGTAATAATATCAATATGATGATCAAACTTAATATTATTTATAAAATATATATATATATGGCTCAAAATCAACCCTTGTAAGAATCTGGTTATCAGCAAATAAAATTTAATATTTGGTGTTTTTAAACAAATTGATATTGTAAATATTACTTAACTATTTTAAATTATATTTTTTTATAATAATATTTATTAATATTAAAATATAATAGTATAAAAATAATATTCGAAACCGTATATGAAATCTTCAAAAACTAACGTTGAAAATATTAATAAAATAAAATAAGTTTTAAATGTTTTTCTTACTATTAAATTTATATACAAATCAATTAATTAATTACTAAAGAAGAAAGAAATTAAAGATAAATCAAGTCAATATATTGTGTCCCGCATATATCATTTCAGTGAACGCAATTTTGTGATTTATATATAAATTTTGTTTTTTATATATATATAAACTCAAACAAACGGTTGTCGTCTTTCGTTTTTGCCAAAACAATTGAAAATAAGTATCATAAATATTTATAGAGCGTACATCAATACGTCATCATACCACAATTCAATATTAACTTACGTAGTGACATTATAGCAAATAGTAATCTCAAATATTTTACAATAATAAAACCAAACATGATGTCAAAGATTACTGCGATCTAAAAAAGGCATTTATTTAAAAAAGTCATTTCGGGAACGATCATTTCAGGACCGTTTCCGAAGTTGACGGAGAGGTTCTCGAAACCATGATGACGTTCCCAAATGACTGTTTAAATAAACGCACGATTATTACTAACGGTTAATCAATTCAGTATGTTACTAACATATTGTTTAATATATGTTTAATGTTATTTAGCAATATGAACTCTGAAAAAAAAATAAAGAAACGTCCGAAATAGCAAGTTAATAAGAATATGGAATGACAATGGGAGATCCAATCCATTACAAAATATTTTTAAATAAGATGATTGTGAAAGAGAGTAATAAAAAGGGCAAGGATGGAGCTTGTTTTAGAAAAAAAGCTGTGACGAATTAAAAACATTGATGAAATCATATTTATCTCTGTAAAGCAAAATAAAAAATATATCCACTGAAGAAAGGAAGGCAATATCTATCCCTAAACAATACTTTGTCCAGATTCGAATATATTATTGCAGAACGGTTTTTGTGAGAAAAACAACGGAAAGAAAAATTGTTCTGAAGGATAGCCGCATAAAATAAAACAACAAGTTTTTCCTAACATAAAATGTAAATATAAAACTTTAAAGAAAAGACTAAGAAGGCATTATTGTGAAAAAAAGAACGATGTATTAGTTCAGGTACCAACAACAGTTACAGCAATTGAAATTGATTTAAAATGTCATTGAACCACCTAAAGTGCGCAAAAATCTCTTATTCAACGAAGTACTGACACAATTAAAAGAAAAGCGTGTATTTTATGAAAAAATTCCAAAGAGAGGATCACCAAAAATGTGTTAGCGAACAAACTGTGGAGATAAACTGATTCAATTGACTTTTTCCAAAGAAACGAACCATACATTGATTCTGAAACCGATATCAAAATTCTGTGTATATAATGACTAAAAAATAATAAGTATAATGTTTAGATGGTTTGATTTATTTACATTGGAATAAAAGATTATTGCCATTGTAATAAAAGTTTAATATGATTATTAAAACTTTCTTTTAAAAAGTTTAATATGATTATTAAAACTTTCTAATCACCCAGGTTATTAAAAGACTGTAAATTGTTTTAAGTTGCGGTTTGGAATTACGTGTCCTTATGCAAAAATTAATAAATAAGTATGATGTTCCAAAAACATTGCTCATGATTTTTAACCCTAAATTGTTCTATATCGTCATATCATCATTCTCCATCCCTTCCGGGAACATCCCAAACTCGCAGATAATACATGATTATTCTAGATATTTTAAAAAAAGCTCTAATAATATTAAAATATGACGAACTTCTCATACCTAGAGCATGTTAATTAATATACAAGACACATCTATCTCATATTTAGATAATTTAAAAAAAAATCAAATATCACCCATTTGCACAATATTTTGTTTCTAACGTCTTTATTGGTAATTTCATTAGATTTCTTTAATTTCTATGATAGCAACATATATCCGCTATTGAATAAGGAAAAAAATAAATACTTATGTTATATTTTAATATTATTATAAACCTTACAAAAACGTTCCCGTAATGATTTTTTTCAGCGATAGGTCTCTTTAAAAATAAAATTACAAGAGTTGTAATCAATTCCATGCTCTGCCAACGTAAATATTGTTTAAACATAAGTTTATGGATCATTTAGGCTGATCATCAAAGTAATAGCTGCTAGGTAAATTCATCATAAAACAGAACTTGGAATTTGCCACCTTGGTGATTTTGAGCCATATATATATATATATATACAAACTGCTCATATTATCATACTCCATTGGTGTCTTGTTAGCGTATACCGTTAGCCACCAATTAATAAACCTTTTTTTACGTGGGAAATCCGTAATGGAGTTCCGCCAGCCAGGGGGATGCTAACGGATACCGGACTCCTACCGTCTAAAACCTCTCAGGGTCACGGGATCGAAGTCAATTTCCTATCTCTAAACATTTTTTTTAAAAGACGATCCCCTGCCTATCTGGTAAAGGGTAAGGGTAAAGACCCGTGGTTATAATCAGGGCAAATTATAATAAGAAAATTATTGAAATGTATTATTGGCTGTATATATTAAATCTTACAATACATGTGTACGTAACCTACTCTACTTTAGCAAAGTCTAAAACTAAGTGAGGACATGAATTTTAGGTTTAGCCAGACCTTGTTGATGTTGCGTGCGGTGCGGTACTGGGCTGGGCTGAGGCGCCGGGCTGCCGCCGGCACTGAACCCGTTCTGCTGCGGCTGCGGGGTCGCCGCCTGAGTCACCTCCACGCCCACGCTCGCCGCCGCCACACTCGCACCCACGCCCGCCACCGCACCCACCGTCGCCGCTGCCACAGACACCGCTGCTACTGCAAATATAACATATAAAAACTCGGGTTGGGTCTAGATGTTCTAGTTCTAGGAAGGGGATTGTAAATAATGAAAACAATTGGTAGCAGTGGCTCCATTGCTAGCAATATTTACATTAACCGCATTAAAAGCCTATTGAACGTCAGCTGTGTTTCCAATAATGGGTTGACCCTCATAAATATATTTTATTAAAATTTATTTCTTAACTAAGACCTGAAATTAACTTTGAACCTTGAAGTTATAACTTCAAAGTTAATTTCAGGTTTTACTTAAGAAATAAATTTTAAAAGGTTGTCTACTGCTCACTAGATGGCGTTGTGCAAACCGGCACTATTAAGTTATTCTTTATTGTAATGACATTCGTTTTTAATCCAAATAGACCTTATGCATTGTAACTTTAAAATTCATTTCAGTTCTTGTTTGGAAATTATATTAAAATAAAATACTATTAACCACAGCCTCTGCCCGTCCATAGACATTTCATAAATTAAGCATAGGACTAATTACTACAACCCAGTATAGAATATATTAGACGGTGTATAGGCTATCAAAAAGTCGCCCATTACAGGCAACTTTTTGATGTGATATAAACAAATATTTACAAAAATCGGTACTAACTAATTACCTGGTAAAGTTTGTGTCAACTGAGTTTCCGTGGTAGTTTGTTCTGTTGTGAAAAACGTAGTAGTTGTGCCATCTATTAGTGGAGTTGTACCGCCTGGTGACATGCTCACTGGCATTGTAGCTGAAATTATAAAGGCTATTTAATTACATAAATTTAAACCTACTATTGTAATGTACAGAGGAATTTATGGAAATTACAGTTCTCTGAATTTGAGTTCACCCTCCAGTAGTTGGTAGTAGATATGGTAGTGTTAAAAAAGTATATCCATTATATAATTGACTATTTCATAAATATAAAAAAATATATATGTATTTACTCGACATCATTATATATCATGGTTTGAACAACCACTTCTAAGTTTAGTAATGATTTCTTCTTATTCAAATTTAAAAATCATTTATTATGTAAGATATTTTAGTCACTGTTAATTGTGTTAATATTTATTGAGAATTATTTTTATTAATGCCAATTAGTTGACCAAAATTTATTTAGGTGTCTATGTAACTATGCAACATTATATGATAATCCTGTATATGAATAACTATACATGCTCATTGTCATTTAAGAAATTGTTTAGTTAGTAATAAAGATTTGCCCAGTAAGTATGTTTATCAGAAGTTTAAACTTTATTTAAAGGAAATAACAGAATATCCTTTGATATCTTATTGTAAAATTTTAAAAAGCCTGTATACATTGACAACTTAGGAAAACAAAAGTGATTCAATGAAATAAATGGTGCAAAAAAAAAATGAGTAAGCTTACAATGATTAATTCTTTTTGGTAGCCACATAGCCCGCGCGTCCATTGTATCAGGCGGTTCTAGTTTAGGAACTATAGTCCTTTGCTGTCCCATAACCATCTGCTGAGAATTCTGGATGGACATTCCTTGGCTTATATTTGGCATCTGAGGAGTGCCCGGCGACATTTGAGTGGGGGCTGACGCCATGCGAGGCGACGCCATCTGCGGCACGTTTGTCCCCATCTGAGGAGTGCCTGGACCCATTTGAGGAGTGCCTGGACCCATTTGAGGTGTTCCTGGCATCACATGTTGTGAAGACATCTGAACTCCGCTTGGATGGCTTGAGATCATTTGCGGGGCGCCGGGCGAGTGTACCATCTGTGGGGCCAACTGTGGCGGGGCCCCAGCCGGTCGGATGGTCGGCCGCGGCCCGTGGGTCGAAAACATGTTCTGAACGCTCTCTGGCGCTAGTGACACGGAAACGCAAAACAAAATTAGCATGCATTGCAAATAAAAAGATAATATACAAAAATCCCAATATTAAATCAATGATGAATTAGTTAAACATTCAGTTACATTTATTAATTCATTCATTTATGTAAATATTTCATTGTAGTATTCATCATTAATTTAATGAAACGATCTACTTCAGAACCAATTTGAAATCACAAGACAGTGGTTTTAATGGAATTTTCTTACTTTGTCCTTGATTAATAATTATATTGGTGGTCTGGAATTGATGGTGTGGTATTGTGGTGTGATGATGACGTGGGCTGGTAGCATGATGCTGAATGGTCACCAGTTCACCAGTGTCCATGTCCATTCCATTTCCACTAAGGCCTGCAGTGTATTCATCTTTTACCAACCTACTGGGGCCTGATTGTAGTGTTAGACCAGATAAATCTAGAAAGATTTAAGATGTAGTCATAATTTTGTCTTAACATAAACTATTGATTTAATCATATAGGAATAAGATTCATAATATAGGAAACATCTCATAACCTTGTGTATGCGGAATAGGCTTATAACTTATACAAACCTATCAATAATATTTATTATAAATTCTTTGCTGTGAACATGATGGGGATTCACTGTTACTATTCATTATTGTACATGGGAAAAAATTGTCTGAATGCATATCCAGTTTCTATACAAAGTCAGTAAGTAGACAAAGGATAGACTGCACAGCTGTGCCTAGCCTAGTCTACAAACTCGTTCTCCACACAATAACCTGTAAAATAGGGTTCCCTAAATCCTAATATTTTACTTGCAATTTGTAACATTGAAAGAAATTACTACACTTAACGGTATGCTTTTCATAAATAATTGCATAAATCGACTTTAACAAATTCACCAAACATTATTATATTATATTCAATTCAACATACTTATTTATATAATTTACATCATATCAATAATAAAGTGTATTAAAAAACTAGATACACATACTACTAGAAAGCTGAAGTCATTTACCTTTTCCAAGGGAATTTAAGAAGTCACAGATAAGAAAATTGCCTAGGTATAGATATAAGACTACCACATTTTTTTATTATTGTTTGGACAATTACTTTAATGTATACTATATTCTATTGTCACTGAATCCTTAATATTTTTATCAATCTCTAATATTTTTATAATCAATGAGTAAAGTATAAAAAGTGTTTAATTATTTAACAGTCTAGCCCATTACTATGAAATTATACATAAATATACATTTTCTATCCCATATAGTGTAAGAAATATGTTTTATCTCTCAATAAGTATATCACAGCTATAGACAAAAGTTATATATGGGAGAAGTACAATATAAAACTTACCTATACCAGGTGACACAACCCTTTCATAATGGTAGGGGTTCACACAAACTGAATCACATTTTAAATCAAATGCAAACTGACAAAACTTAACATGTTTCAATTCATTTTTATGCAAATCTGGCCAACGCCAAATACGAGCATATATAACATGAGGAAATCCTTTACGACCGGCCACCTGCAGAGAACAGGAGTAATGTCAGATAAATTTAAATATATCTGCAAATTAATTAAAGAATAAATAAATAACTCTTTCTATATACATTGAGAATGGATGGGCATTGAGAAAACCTGCGGAGAATATTTGCCTTATATCAACGCAATATTAAATTAAACTATTTAATACAATCTATAAATTGTAAATTATTTGTTTCTAGAAATGGTAAATTAATTTGTTAAAAATTTAATACAATAACTGTTTTTATTGTAACTCTACTTTATTTTAATATATGCTAATTATAATGAAACATGACAATAAATTTTATATATTTCTTATTTTCTAAACAAAAGTATTGAAGTTGTAATATACCTGTAATCTGCCATCCAATGTTCTCTGTATTGTAACACATTTGCTAGGATGTGCACCATTAGTCGTTATGGCTGTGATCAATGAGTCTAACTCGTCCCGTTTCTCCTTCAACTTTTTAACAAGTGACTCAATGGCACGTTTTGAGAAACTCTCACTCTCCCCACCCTGTCTGTGGCACATCAATGAGTGGACAATACTCAGGCATGCATCTGCCGAAGTTGGTGCTGTAGTGTTCATGGCTAAAACATTTAATAACAATATAATGCTGTTATGTTCTGCATTGCACTGTCAATACTCTCACTCATAATTCGAACATAATAAGTACGACTTAGCAACTCAGGAATAAAAACTGATATCAATCTAAAAGTTATAGGTAATAAAAGAAAATATATTAAATGCTTGCTGATAATTTTGAACGATATTAGAATAACGAATATATCTGGGTAAAATAATAATTGTATTAAGTACATTACAATTATGTTGTTAAACAAGTATCATGATATTAATTACGGAATTAATAATAAAAAGAAACGATTAATTCATCAAATAATTAATCATTAACGAAACCTGTGTAATGTAACAGTAGTGACATCAAAGGACTTACCGGATGGTTAGGTGAATATCAGTTCCACTTTTTATGTTCGTAATTATAACTACTATTTCGCAAAATCATGAGTAAACTATGAAATTTAATTTCTTATAGCAAGATGATACCAAAACAGAAGCGACATTTTGAAAGTGCATAGACAATGACACAATGTAGACCACAGATTGGAAAGATTATACCACAGAATATAACAGCTGCAGTATGTCTTGCCAAAATAAAGTTACCGCACAATATCCACTTTTTTGTGCACAGAGCGGTGCGATACATCCAGAACGACGTAATTGTACGCTCGGTGAGCGAGTTTTTGAGGAGCATGGCGTGGCACAAATTGAGCTGCGCCGACAATTGTCCTCACCCCCACCCAATGGGGATCGCACTCCAAAGCAAGCCCCACTCCGTCCTATCCCTTTCAATCTCTTGTCACCCTACTTTTTTTTTTATGGATGATAATGAAATTGTGCATCTTCCAGCGCTAACGGTTTACGCTGGCGGAGCATCAGTGATGATAAGATGAGCATGAGGTTAGGTCAGTTAGCCCATCGTGACAAATTTATCACGATGGTTTCCAGGGGTAACCGCGTGGCGGTCAACCTGACATTGCTAGTAATGGGGTCATGAGTCCACATTACTAACAATCCCCTTCCCCTTTCGACTCCCTAGTTAGTAATCTGCTAAGTAACAAGCATATGTATACGAACTTAAACTAAACACTGTAAAAAAGGAAATACAATTCTACAGTAGAAGCTACCGATTTGGACTAAATTACACAGAACGTTATAGAGTTCTTTAGCCTCTATATTGTTACCACTATTATTTATGTTTGTGTTTGTAATGTAGCAGCAGCAGGAAAGGAGATGAAGTGATAAGTCCAGTGATTGCTATTTACATTATGTATATTAACAAAATATTTACAATTGATATATACCTATACAAGAAAGTAATTCGGTCTCGAAACACAAGCTTGTTATTCTTCTTGCCCCATCGTAACTAGGCAACGGTGTTGCCGCACGATGATAGTAGATTCGCCACAGTTCCATGAGAGAGAACCAAAGAAGTCCCATTGGGTATAATAAAATAAACTATACAATTAAAAAAGGTTAATTATTAGCATAAAGATCTATTACCCTTTTCTACGATGGTATTAAAAAATTTTCACTTTAGAATATAAACGAAGTAAATTGAAAATGAATTGTACTCTTTTTTTGTAACTTTTTTATCAATTGCTCTTTTGATGTCGGTTATAAAGATACGTACCTACGTACCTACCTACTATATATATAAAATGATATACACCTATTTCATATATATGTATTAAATAGGTGTATATTTTTTTTTTTTTTAGGATTTGAAAATTTTAATTATTTTATTTTTTCCTCAAATCAATTTTCATATAAACAATTACAAAAAACAATCATTGTAATCCAACGTGTTATATTATTATGTCTGGGAAAAAATCTTCATCATTTTATGACTTTATTTGAAAATACTCTGCGGTATTGACTATTGACAGATTTTCTGTCATTTTTGACAGCGACAGCTATCATTGATGCAGTCAGCGATGTTGGTAATATTTTGACAAATTCTTACACTTTTTTATTTCCGATTTCCAGAATCCACTTAAAATAATTAAAGTCAGTTTAATTGAAACAAAATTGTCTAATTCACGGACGTAAACGTATTCAAAGTGCGTATATGGAGTGTATTTTAGCTCCCGAAAAGTGGGTGGATTCCTGATATATTTGTGTCATGCCCGAAATATTCACAAATTGTGTTGATGATGAAAAATGAAGGGTGTCGATAGCTCTCCAGCTGATATCGAAGGAATGACAAACAAACCTATATTAACATGTAAGTAGCTAGTGTTTTTTAATATTAGTTTTTATTATAACTTTCTTATATCTATTACATATGTTTGTTATGCTAATAAAATCTCCACATCAGGCGCGGGAGATTGGAACTTGTTTTGCACACTAGAGGCTCCGCTAGTTGCCGCTATACCGCAAGATTCCTGTGAGTGGCGGAGGTCCTATGGTCGACCTTCCAAGTCCGTATATTTAGAAGCTTCATTCATAAAGTTTAATAAGGATAAAATACAATCGGAACTGAACTTACTGAAGCGCCCTATTTTCCATATATACTGGACAGATTGTGTGGTTAGTATATAAATTTGTCTTGATATGATAAGTTAGTAGATAAGTAGGTTTATTAGTATTGTTATAATTAAACAAATCAGTGTTGGATTTTCTAACCCTTCTTTGTATAAACAATAATTCCTGTAATATATGTTATCCTTGTAATATATGATTTTGTGTGTTTTTTTGTTTAGGTTTTGTGGTTTACAATTAAGATTACTAATTTTAGAATTTACATGACACAAAGGATAATATACATCAATTAGATGTTAATATAGATGCTAGTTATTTTTGGCGCATGTTAATAATAATAGACTTTATTACTTTAAGTTTAGGAGTGTAAATTCATTACTGTATATAACTGTTTATGGAAAAACTAAAAGGAGCCCTGTGTCACATCATGACAAACTTAATAGTCAATGAGTTTTTTGTCATTGAAAATAATTAAAAATGTTCATGGTAACTGTAAATTTTAATATACACATATGCATATAATTTTATATATATGTTGAAAGGAAATAACTATTTCATTATAATATTACAGGATGTAGAATATTATAAAACCACTCTAAAAGAAGATATTGAATTATGGCTAAAACAATTGGAAAAAACTGGCATAACAGATTGGATGATTGTTCTAGTAGAAACTTATGACATACGTAAAACAAATAAGCTATTACCTAGAACTACAGTACTGGACAAAATAAAAGGAGACTTTGCTATCAAACCAACAGAAGATCGATTTTTGTCTGTAATAAACCCCATCAAGTCTGAGGCTAGAAGTGCAGAGTCATGGAGGGCTCTTGTGGCAAAAATCAGGCATTTTATTCTAGTGGCTTATAACAAGGCTCTGATAAAGTTTGAAGAGCACATGAGAGAGCAGAGGGAGAAACGCAATGATCCAGAGTGGGATTTTTGTAAATACTTTGTTCTACAGGTAAATAATGCATGTTGAACTCTTGTTCATAAGGAAGGTTCTGTTAGATTAAAAACTGTTGATGTTGTACTAACGAGTGTTAGTAAATTTGTAAACTACTTAATTGTTAACCTTTTGAATGTCTGTCGCAACAATCTAAAGTGAAGAGGCGGTATGCACTCGCCAGCTGTATTTTTTCAAATGCATTTCGATCTTATTTAGTTTTAAATAAGAACTAAATTGGTTAAAAAGAAGTCACGGTTTTGCGGCCACAGATCTGTGACAAGATGATTATATGGTTTAAGATAATGATAATAATCTTAATCACAATTATATTATTTGCAGGAACAATTAGCATTTGTGTTAGAAATGTTAGGTTTGTATGAGGAAGCCCTGGTCCAATATGATGAGTTGGATGCACTATTTTCTCAATTTGTACTCAATTCCAATATAACAGTGGGTCCAAAGTGGCTTGATACCTTCAAACAACCTGTCACAACATGGCAGGCTGTGAAATTGACTGCTTTAGTGCCACAACATTTGAGGGACCTCATAACGAAGAAGAAAGCCTCACTATTAGATTTCAGAAGCTACCTCTTTCAACGTCAAAGTGCCATGTTATTACTAATGTTTAAACCTGTTGAGGTGAGATAATTTAAATTTATGTTCAACATTACTATATTTAATATTACATTGCTCCATGAAAGAATCCTAAAAATTAAAAGCAATTGTTTAATATATCACATAAATCATGCACAGGAAATGCAATTAAATTCAGAACCTGAGAAACTGGTTGAAAAATGTCATCTTTTATTGGTGTCTAATTGATTGCTTTGTCCTCATGCAATCTTTCAGTTCTCATTTCCAAGAGATTTAAAGGAAAACTTTTCTTAATATTTAAATCCAGTATGGAATTTCGTGTTTATAAATTAGTAGGACTATCCATTTAATTTTGAATCTATTAAACTGTATCTCATAATTCTCTTACGGGATTCAAATACACCATATTAAATTTTTAATTGAGTTGATACTTGATGTCCAAAAGAGACTTATCTGGCCTATGTTCCTGTATAGTATATTCATTATAGTATTTGAAAATATTTCAATGTTTTATAAAAATAATACTGTTTAATTTAATATACTAGGTATGTCAATAGTGTAATTTATTACTGTTTATAAAACACAACACAGAAATCAGCAGTTTATTAATTGTGATCGTTGGACGTATAATTAGTGTACTGCCAATTAATGTACACTTCTAATTATTTGAATTATTCATTTCATTCACACAATTACTGTTATCGAGAAATACATAGTGCAGTAATAGGAAGCCAATAAGATTTCAACAGAAATATGTGCATTCAATTAAAAAAAAAAGATGATAATACGCGTTGATTCAATACATTGTATAAAACATAGTTACAAGTTAAAAAAAAATTTTATTACTTTATTTTCGTACAAAACTTAAGGGGGTCTTCCCATGTGACGGTTTTTTAGGGATATTTTAGGATTTTTTTTCTACGACCAGTAAATATTTAGAGCTTCAAGTTTTTTATCATTTATTAACACATATTTGGACAGTATAAATATAAAATTTCAGCTAAAAATATTCAGTCAAACTAGAGTTACAGCGCTCTGAACACCCCCGCCTCGAAAAAAAGAGCTCCCACTTCCTCCACGATTCCGGCTGATCGGCTTATCTGAAAAATAAAAAAAAAACGGCGTTTTAATTTGTAGGCTTAAAAGCACGGAATGACCTATATATAATCAAATGAATATAAAAAAAATTGGATTTTTGATAGACATTTGAAATAAAAGTTGCAAATTAGGCGTTTTTTTTTTTTTGTTTTTTGCTATAAAAAAATCGAAGTTTTGAAAATTTTCGATTGATAATAGTTCATTCCATGCGTTTACATATATTGAGTGTGCCCTGTAAATTTCAAGTAATTCGGTCCAGCCGTTTCTGAGATACAATGGAGGAAAGTTTGAAAAACACAGTTTTGAGAAAAACGCGTTTAAAGTTTCAAGTCCGTTAAAAACTATTAAAATATCAACTTACTCTCAATCGGCGATGCCTGGTCCATAGAGTATTCCTTCCTCTTCCTCATGAAACTCTTTTAAAGCAGATTGTTCAGCTCTTGAGTCAATCCTGGCTTGTTTAACGACATCACTTACGCGCCGCTCAGAGCGTAAGATTCGCTTTGCCTCCCGTTTCTCAACATACGCTTGGGCTTCACGACCAACAGGGCATCCCATAATCGACATAACTTTTAAAATACCTTGAAAACCTTCATTAAAGATAATAACTGCTAAGTAGCTAGCAATTTCAACAACTTTGGGACCAGAATGAAGATGTTTAGGAGCGAAAGTCCAAATCAAAGAATTCAAAGATTCGTTATTGTTTTGTGTCTCTGCTCCTAAACAACGAATTAATAATTCGTCTTTCGATAAATCTTCGAAAACCGGTTTGATAGCTTCTTGGACTTGCGGAATTAGAGGTGGTTTATCGTGATGAAATTGGTCCAGTTCATTATTAGCTTCAGCCTTACGCCATTTACACCAACTGTCATCGCCTTCTGGACAAAATTGATGCTGAGGGTTTTCATCAGAAGAACATTTGTGATAGTACGTTGCCCAAACTTCCTTTCTCATATCTTCAAGCGAATCTGGATGGCGTCGAATTGCTAATCCGTAGAATTTTGTAATTTCTTGGATAACTTTATCAGTAAGTTTACCTGCTCCTTTTCTGTTTAAGTCTGTAGAAACGTGTCTAAACTTGTATAAACAAATATATTAATAAAAGGGAGGCCAGGTATAAAGCCGACGGTACACAATAGGCCCGGTCTCTAACTGCCAACTCACCGCTCCGAACCGCTCTTTCTTTTACCTGCTGTATCTTTAAAACGACTTCGAATTTTCTAAAATCGCTTTACTACCGTATTCTAGACATGTTAAGGGAGCAATTTATTAAAAAAAAAAAAATCGATTTTTTCAACCCATCACATAGGAAGACCCCCTTAATATAAATTTGTACTCTCTCTCCCCGTGGTCGCTGTTACATTTGTGACCACGCTAATTATTTCTAGAAATTATTTAATTAACAAACAGTAGTTTCGAAATTATTCTTATTTCCATTTAAAATATTTATGTAATGTAAATTGTGTCATGTGACGTCAGTAAATTTAAGATTCCGTTCATATCTTGTCAATAACTTATTCAATTAATAAGTATCATCAATTGAAAATTTAGAATTGCTAAATGTGTTATATCTAGAATATAAACATTTATCGAAGTTAGTACCTAGTTTTTAAAGTCCCAAAGTTAATACATTCTCTATCATAATCACTTGGTTATAATATTAGTAGGTTCAAATATATTATAATTATGTGAATGTATCATAGCATTAACTGCAGCATTAAAAACTGTACAACCGCAGTATAAAATTGCAGTAATGCACTTTACACATGGGTGATCATGAGGAAACTACTAATAACGTATGTCTAGACGTCATAGTATGAACTAGTGGTGCCTGCGACTACGCGTATTAATTTTGATTTTAATTCTCATATTATTTTATGAATAAACTTCTTAATAAAAATAATAGTAGGTAGCATTACATTGGCGTATTGGAACTATTCACAAAATTTATTATAATCACTACTCTTTGGCAGCACTGTCTAAAGATAGAAGTATTTATTTTGTCTACATTAATAATGACATATTTTGTGAAAAATTTACACTAAACTCTCAAGTCGTGTTTATGTGAAAACTGAACACGTTTTCGTCTCATAAAGTTGTACGATTTCATTATATGTAAAGACAAAAATACAACCATTGTATTGTAATCTCTTTCCACTGATAATATTTGAAGTCTATATCTCTCTTTATTTTTGTTTTCAAAATTTAATTTTGACAATGTGCATGTAAAGAAAATATTAAAAAAGTCTTTATAACACTTCAGATCGCATCCCGTTGTATAACAGTCGTCCACAATACATTAATGGAGCTATCTCTGCTGGGCGCGAGCGCAGTAGACGGTGCGGCCGCGTGTTGGGCGCTACTGGCGTGTGCGGAGACGCTGCGGGCCGTGGACCGTCTCGCTGCTACAAACAACGTCCTTGACATGTGTACACCTGTACAAGCGCCTTTATTGCACAACGCCAAAGATAAGGTTAGTTGGGGTTAAGTGGACTATTACTCTGTTATCGTGAAATATAGGTTAAGAGTATTCATATCGATATTGATTAATATTGCACAGAGGTATTTTAGTGACCTTTAAATATTACTGTATTTACAGGCCAAGATAACCTGTAAATATCATAGCAGGATAATAGAATCTCTCTGTAACTCCAAACCTATGTTCAACTGAACTATCACAGTTCAATCAAGGTTCAAACCTTCCATTCTCTCCAGCCTGTCAAACAAACTTAAATCTTAAATAAAGTAAATTGTAGTATTGTTATTAATTGTTTTTGGAAATATACCAATGAGGCAGTGTTATTATTATATGTAATATTTAAAAAATAAATATATAATATTGTATAGTTTAGAATTAAGAAGTACAAGTGAATTATTTCACATAAAAGATATTATATATTTTACAACTGCTTAATTTGTCTCAAATATTCGAGTAGATTTTTGCCAAATTTTTTTTACTGAGATTATATGTTTTTGAAAATTGTTGCATATTTTAAGGTGCCTGTTTAGCATCAGCGGTTTATATCCTTATCATTTAGGTACAGTTTTGATTTTGTACTGTGATATTCTGTGATAATTATTGGTGAAGTTTTGCAATATTTGTATCAACAACATATAAATTTATTATATTTAATATACATATTTTTTAATAACATTTATATAATATACATATGGATATACGAAATTAACAGTAAGAGCTCTTACTGTGATATAATTAATGTTGTAGAAATATTGCAAAAATTCACTAATAAATACTTTTAAAACCACCATAGCTATTTCCTAATAAAAAAAAATATTTAAATCTATTTAACTCGCAGTTACATGAACTTGGTAAGTTATGCGGCCTGCTACCTGGATCTCCGGATCCCAGTTCAGAACAACTGCACTTGGTGGTGATGCTGTCGGCCGGCATGGGTGACAGCGAACCAAACAATCAGCACCCCACGCCGACGGACAGACTGAAAGAAGCATTATGTAGTAAGACCAGTTTTCAGCAGTACTACTTGGAATTGGCTGAGATGGCCATGGGCACATATAAACACATAGGAAGATTAAGGTTTGTACCAAAGAAAAATCTCAGTATTTTACATTATAATACAACATACTAATTAGTATGTTGTATTATAATGTAAAATACTGAGATCAGATGATCTTGTGTAAGCCATACTAGTATTATATATGCGGGCAGTACCGATCCAATAAAATCATAAACGTTCTTATTTCTACTCACATAACTTTCAGATTCGCCCGCCTAATCGGTCGTGACTTAGCCTCTTTCTATTCGGAGTTAGGGGAGACCGGGAAAGCTGTAGTGTTCCTGATGGACGCCCTGCGATCTTATGAGGAGCAGGGCTGGCGGGATCTCGCCGCGCAGACCAGGCTTGAGCTGGTCGCTGCCGCTCATAAGATGAACGACGTTGATAGGTGAGTTTGAACTTGCAACATTGTCCTAACAACCCATTAGTCCTACTACTGGATACCGACTTCTCTTCATAAGAAACAATTAGCTGTATATTTACATCTCGTGTGATCTTCCTCATTAATTTTATGTAATTGGATTGACCAACACTAACTATCACTTGATGGTAAATGGTAATTTTTTTTAAACTTTCGTGTATAGTGCTCATTATTTATCTTGTTAAGATGGTCAAAACGAAACCACGGCTTGTGCATCTAATCGAAACGTCGTCACAGAAGACTTCGTTGTACGAAGTGCACCTCAATATATTTTAATTTTGATCTCCTAGTTCTCTTAGGATATTCTGGTGATGAACAGAATGATGATGAGAATATTTGTACACCGTCACTACGCGGACAAATTAAAATCGCTATATTTCCACCAACTCTTAGAATGTAATAAATATGAATTGAGAATTTAAACTGTCCACTTTAAATCAGCAGAGTTTTGAACCCTTCAATGAATTGTCAATTTTCATCTAATGGCATGATGATGTATGAAATGTTAAAAACGCCGCAACTGCTTTATTACATTAGTCCAATATTAATTCCAGATATACAAAGCTCTCTGCAACAATAGCATGTACAGCTGAATTAGAGATTCTAGTCAGAAATTTCTACTTTGAGGAAATGTTGAAATCAATAAAGGAGAAGTTATCAGATAAACAGGACACGGTACTAGCCGAGCTCAATGACTGTTTCAAATTAGTATCCGCAACCCTAATACCGTCCGAACGTGATGTTTATATCACAGATAATAAGGTTCAATGTCGTTTGGTTATCGAGTGTAATTTACCCAAAGAGGTTACATGCACGCGAACAGCAATTAGTGTAGAACCTTGTAAAGAGGATAGAAATGAAAGTGGAAAGAAGACACCGGTCAAATCTTGTAAGACTGATTTAACTGTTAACGGTAGTGTAAGTTCACAAACGAATTCACCGAGGAAATCCACTTCAGACGTCGTCGAGAGTGAATTAACTAATATAATTAATAGGTAAGTATAGTTTGTACTTTAAACTATATATACTTTACAATATATGTTATTATTAGTATAGGCCACTCACTTGCCTTCAATTTCGTTATATCACTGATACCATTTCCAAGTAATCCAAGATGGTGGTAGGTTTATCATATGCTACTTTGTATTCAAATGTACTCTGCAAACTAGGAAGATGTTCATCACCATGTCAATATTTGAAATTGTCTTGGACTACCTAATTTACCTAAATAAATAATTATAATCATGAAGGTCTGGAATTACAGTTAAAAGTATTTTTTACATAAATTTTACTAGATATTATGAATAAATCATTTATGTTCTTTAAAATAATCTTTTGCAGTATAAGACTGGATGATTTAAAACCTAAAAACCCTTTATTAAATCCACTTCAAATTACCTCTCAATTACACTACAAGGAAGACAAAACATTACAAAAAGCAACCATCGAGTGTCAAAATCCTAAAGCGACCCTCAGAAGATCAGATAGCACCAAATATAGAAAACCATCGACAACAACAAGAAGCAATTATCAGAACTCATTCCGTCGGGAGAAATTCATTTTGAAGCCTGGATTGAATGAGATTGACTTAGAATTTGTATCACAAACATGTGGTACATACATGTTGGGACAAGTTTCAGTGGTTGTTGAGGAGAAATTGGAGTTTCTGTCGAATGCGCTGATTAGCACTAAAATGGGTTTTGAAGTGGTAACTCAGGGTATCAATGTTTATTTGAATAAAGTGGACCCAAAGAAGGACCTCGTGGCGGGCCTGGAGCATGAAATGGAGTTGATTGTGACGAGTGGAAGCTCTTATATAGAAGAGGTTTGTGATATATTACTTCTACTTTTAGATTTATTACGAAATAATAAAATCCTACTTGTAGCATCATTTACACAATACTTACTGCTAACGAAGTGCGAACTTGGATTTCCGTTTCACTCACTGTAGTGGACCAGCTGATTATATAGTTCATCAACATTAATAATAATAAAGGGTCCACAAATATGACTAAGATAGTCGTTTTACTAGTCCCTAGAACGAGCCACTAATTACTTATTAAACTAGCGGCTGTATTATTTAGCGCAATTCTAGTAATCTGATTTTATTGAGTGATGATTTACATGTCCGATTACATTTATATTGCTGGTACGAAATTTAATTAAATATACCTAGGAAACAAATAGCCTGTATATAAATGGGATATTTTGTACATCATTTACGCTGACAAAATTGCCGAGGTGATTATTTTTTGTTTTGAAATATTCAAAGCAAACATCGTATTAATTATACAATTAATAAGACATTTGATTTTCTCTGTTTCCAGAATAGTACAATAGTTCTAAAAACATCTGCCGGACTACAAATAGGTCTAATTGAAGAAGAATCTCCCATGACACGCGAGCTATCCGTACCAATAAATGCGTGCAAGCCGTTTGAAACTATTCGTGTTCCATTGAAACTCTTCGCTAGCTTGCAAGCGAGATCTGAGAAGAGTATAGAACATACGGTAATTATTAGTAACTATTTATAAGAAAATGTATCAAAGTACTAGTTGTTTAGTCCCCATAAAATAAGGTCTGTTTAGCTTGAGACTAGATGACGCTGTGTAATATATTTAGTGATTTAATTTTGTAATATGTCAATGTAATGACAAAGTAGTGTATTATCTAACTAAACTGGAACTGGAAAGTGGCAACTATTTTCACTTTCAAGCCAAAACGCAGCTCTAAAAGTAAACTGCTCACCGGCAGAAATAAATGGGATAAAGGTACCGGAGGTATCGACAACACTATGCAACTTTATTGAATAAATAACATGTTGAGGTATGGCTGCAGTGGGGGAGTTCCACGTGAAAACTGATTCTCTCGTGAGAGAGCTTATGTGTAAAGACAGCTAATGGATCTACTGACATGTCGAGGTGCGGCAGCGGCGGGCGACGCCCGAGCGAAAGCCGATTCGTTCGTGAAAGAGAAATTAATAAATGTACTAATACGTTTAGGTGTGGGTGCGGTGCCCGTGGCGGGAGGGCGCGGGCGCGGAGGAGGTGCGGCTGCAGTGGGCGCGGCCGCTGCGCGCGGCGTGGCGGCTGCTGACGGCGCACGCGCGCAAGTTCGTGCACGTGGCGCTGCAGCCCGCGGCGCCGCCCGCGCGCGCGCCGCCCCTCGCGCTGGCGCGGCCCGCGCTGCACTGCCCGGACGCCGCGCTCGCAGACCTCAACCCGCCCGTCTCGCACACGGTCAGTGTACACACGGATCGAGTACGTTCTTTTTTCAAACTAGAACAAAAATAGAACATCTCTCTAGATAGACTATATATTTTTATTTATTTTCGACGGCGTCGGTGGTCTAGTGATTTAGCACACTGCTTTATTTCCGATGGCCGCGACCATCGGACGGCATTCGACTCCTCACACGGCACAAACATTTGTATTCATAACTATGATTGTTAGTCTTTGCTTTTTCTTTCTTTGTGTATAATATGTATATATTTACTAAAAAATATGTATTTGTATTAATTATGTAGTACCCATAACATAAGCTTTAGCTACCTTAACTAGGGTTTAGATGATATTATGTGAATTGTCCTGAGATTATTATTATTATTTATAAGAACTGGCATAACCCAGTGACTAAACATGCATAAAAAAATTTGCAGGTGGTATCCTCAGATGGAACAACGGCATCATTTATGTGGGAACTATTGAAAGATCCCCTAGTTAAAGCAGAACCACTGAAAGCGACGTTCACAGTGGAATATCGACCACTCGATGCAGATGAACCTTATAGAACGTACTCGTGTCCATTCGATATACAAGATTATATGACGCTGTTCGTGATCCGAACGAAAGTAGAGCCCAGTAAAGGCTCAGACTTCTGTAGAGCATCTCAGGTTTGCTGTTTGCATCTGAGTGTACAAAGGGTTAGTATTTGTTTTTATATTAATTGCACTAACTGTTTATGCTTGTGCTCACCGTTGGATGTTGATAGAATGAGCATGAGGGCATTTAGTCAATTGTAAAAAATTCTAGAATTGATGATGATGCTTTAGTGAATACTAGAAGGAATTTCCTAAGCCATCATCATAAATTCCGGTTTCCTCTATTCCCTATTCCAATTCCGCAAAGTTTTTCCGGATTTGGATTGAATTTGATATGGTGCATTGCTAGCAATGAAGTTGTAGCAACACAGTTTCTACACGTGCCACCGTCCACTTCCTAGAATCCTTGTCGCACGGCACGTGTAACATTAGAAACTGTGTTGCTACAAAGTTATTAGGCCTCATTTCTAACAATTCCTTTTCCCCCTGTAAGACGCATTGACAACAGTCAATTGGCACTTAACATGCCCTTGCTTACTATATTTTAATTAGGTTGGATTAAAATATACTTGGGGTAAGTCTACCGTCATCTAATATGGAATATTCGAGTTATTAAAACCTTGTCTTTTATTAATACAACGCAAATACAGCGAAGCAATTGAAATCTACTTTAGAAAATTATTGCGGAACATGGAGGCATGTTTCAATATATACCATGAGTTCCAGTACGTTTTTCTGCTGACAACATTGCTGATATCACATTGACTTTTATAGGTAAACGAAACGGAGTACACATCCCTTATGTATGAAGTACTAGCGGACCAGACGATGTGGGCGGTACTTGGACGCACTGCAGGTATGTTAATGTAGCGCATTATAGTAAAACATGGTGCCGGGTACAGGCATACTAAAACATTGAAAAGTATTATTAGTGACTGATCTCCAGGCATAATCTAAAAGATGCTGAGGTTCGAAACCCTAGTAGTACCCTCATACAAAAATCATATCTGTCAGGCAGGAGTTGACCTACAGCCATTCAAGTTCTTTCGTGGGTTTACCCTCGGGCTAGTACCCTTTGTACTCGTCCCTATATCATTTGGTGAAGCTGTAAAGGCCAGCTGCGGCCAAAATCACTAGTGCGAATGAAAAGATTCGAAAAAATCTCTAAAATGTCCATAGTACATACTATTTAAAAAAATAGTGTGTAAAATATGCATTATGACTATATACTTGAGTTGAATCATCTATTGAAAAATGAATCCAAAATCACTAGTGCGAATATATTTATACATAGAAAAGTTTGTTCGTTTTGTTTGTATTCTTTATTGAAAAATATCTCTAAAATGTCCAATGGCGGACTTATCATACTATTTAAAAAAAGAAAATACGTGTAATAGTAAATCTAATAATAATTTTAATGACTATATACATAAATACACATAAACATATATACATATACACATACATAAAATAAAGAGAAAATATTATAAATAATTGTAGTATTAAAAGAGCGCAGACTCGGAATGACCCCAGAATCTTTTAAGGGTGCTATTGATAATTTAATCTCTGAAGTGTATTCCACAGTCGGGCAGCTTGAACGGTAAAAGATTTAGTGTACCGGTGACTAGTATGAGAAGGAATTGAGCAGTAACTCTTGACAAGAGCGTATATGCTCACCGGTTCGGAACCGGAATCTCTCTTGTAGGTAAGAGGGCGAACAGGGGTTAAAAAGGATTTGGAACAAAAGGGTACGAACACGGATAGGAAGCCAGTTGAGCCCAGCTCTATAATATCTGATATTATTATTGTCCAGTAACTCCTCAGATGGGTCCACACTATCAGCATAATCCAACAAGGGAAGAAGGAGAGATCGAGCCAGCAACAAATTAGTGCCCAAAGGCAGAAAAAACTGATTATTGCAATAATTTATATCCGTGTGTGTGTGTGTCAAATATATTTATATATAGTATAGTGTGAGTAATGAACATCATGTTTTTCTTATTGATTTAATGTATTTTTATGCATAATTTTTAAACAATATTAGTAATCTACAATTCTCTATATAAACTAAAAGTGTGGGAATTTTCATACTCCTCCGTTCGCACATTTTCATAAAAAGGAGTGCAAACTTTTTGCTTCGTGTATAAATATATGGATATGTATGCAGGTGTGATAACAATGGAATCGAGTAGTGGGTCCCCTGCTAGCGTGTGCCTGGACGTGATGCCATTGACCGGCGGATATCTACCACTGCCTACGGTACGACTCTCTAAGTACATCGCCGCCAACACCAAAGGTATAAAACCAGCTGCTATTGAATTAATTTCATATTTTAATAATAATATCTCAGGACATTTTGACGGCCTCGGTGGACTAGTGGTTTAGCACACTACCTCAATTCAGATAGACGAGGGTTCGATTCCTCGCACGACAAACATTTATATTCATGAGTAAGATTGTTTATATGGGTTTAGTGATTTTTTCTGTATATATTTACGAAAATTATTATATATACATATATTATATAAATTCTATGTATTTATATCAGCTGTCTTACACGATAACACAAGCTTTAGCTAACTTAACTTGAGTGTAAATGGTGCTGTGTGAATTTTCCTGATATTATTATTAACGCACACAGAGATAAACCGCTACACCACCGAGGCCTACCGGTTAGATACCACGTTCATTGTGACTCGCAGCCCGAGTCGCGACGTAACATGGCACAGGCAGACGACGCTTCACAGTCGCGTCGAACATAACTATTACGGAATCTCCTTACCTTGTGTGTATATACCAAATTACTACACCTCGGTGGTCTAGCGGTTTAGCACACCGCCTCGCTTGCGATAATCGCGTATTTGATTCCTCGCACGGTACAAACATTTGTATTCATGAGTATGGCTATTTGTATTTAGCGGTCTGAGTGTTTTCTATGTAAAATTTGAATGTATTTGTAAAAAAAAAGTATCTATGTTTTTATATCAGTTGTCTAGTACTCATGATACATCTCTTTAACTTGGGACTAGATGACGCTGTGTGAATTGTCAGCGCTTAACATTTCGACTTAAAAATATAAAGTTACAACGAGTATTCAACAGCTACACGCAAGTTTCTTGCTCTTTTTTCTTTTGATTATACAGTTTTCCGAATAAGCGGAAGATTATAAAATAAAATACTAAGACTATTCCAAAGTGCTTTAATTAAGTATATTTGAAACAGGATTTTCATTACTATTCCTTTCTACGTATTGCAGCTCTCACGAGCTGCAACTCTTGAGAACTATGCAGTTGTTTCATATAACAAATTGAACATATAGTATTAGTTATTTATTTATATCTGATACCAAGTTTCCACATAAGTGAAATAAATATATTTTTGAAGTCTTTTATTCAATTGAAAACCAAGATTAACATAAATATAAATAATATTTTTATTAACAGATCCGAAGAAAGACATCTCGGCCCACCATCGTTTGGAGCCCTTCAGTCCTGGACAGGTATACCATGCAGGGAAAGCGAAGCAAGTCCACGTACTGCCTCCAGCACCGAAGGAACACGTCGACCCTTCACTATAATTAGTCATAAGGTTTTATCTAAAAATGCATAACACATGCAAATTGGTAGCAGTGAATTTAGAAGCTTATTACTTTGAAGAGAAAGCTTTAATTGCAATATGTTTTGTTAACGGTGTGAAGAGAATATTTTTCTTGATTTATTGACTTATTACAACCAAGTAATAACTATACCAGTTAGAACAATATAAAAAGCCAAAATTGTAACATATGTGTATTTGATTTTCTACTAAGTTTACTCAAGTTTTACTCAGTTATTTGTGCAGTGTATAAAAATATATATAAACCACACGAATCAAATAACTCAGCTCAATATTCCAGTCCAAGATATTATAAGTAGAAATTGAGTGTGCTAGCGTTAGTTAAACATAGATGTTACTATAATAACACTGTAGTGCAATGTATAGACTTTTGTTTTCAATCATAAAACGAATATGAAAGTAATCGTAGTAGGAAGTAGGTGTATTTTACTTTGCCATTTATTCAGCTCTCCATTACGTTAAAATAATTGTTCAGTATATAGATAGTAAAGAGATATATTATCAATTCTATCTTCATATTAATAGGGAATAATATCGACTGACACGAAATAACCGCTGTGCTAATTTTGCTTTAATTCATAATCACCTGAATGACGTAATCGGATACAGAATTTAAGTATGGAATTTTAATTTTACATCCTATTAAATAAAATTTAGGTTTCTTGATTCGTGTTTCCTAGATCTGACTATTCTAAAAGGAAATAAAATATTTATTCATGATCTTTGCATCTCCAAAAAAAAAGACGACTGTCTCTTACTTGTGTAGTAACTTTACCGTTAATGTAATAAATACTCTCTGAAATGGAAATTACTATATTCTATCAATAATTTATATTAAATAACAGGGAGTTAGTACATAATTGATAAATAACGAAAATCTAATTTTCAATATGTCTGTTATTGATGATGTAAAGATGTTGGACCATCGTATTGTGATAAAAATATGCTTCTATAAGGTTGTATGTATACTATGTAAAAATCGTAAGTTTGGAGAGTAGCTTAAATGTGACTCCTTTATATGGAATTTATTAAAGGCAATGCTTTATGTGAAAAAATATAACAGTGATTAATAATAAGCTGCATAGACTAAGCTACCTAAGTATATAATCGGTGTCGTTTTTTTTTTGGCGTCATAAATATTATCTGTTAAAAATATAACCAATCTGAAGGATAATATGAAGTTTACATAAATTAAGTACAGACACCATTATAATATTAATACACACAGATAAGAAAAATAAGCGGAAATTTACATGTATCTACACTCCTTGTTTCTTTATATATTTTTTTAATAATGAATAACACACCATATAATACCATATCGACGGTCTCTTACAGTGTGATTAGATAGATTCAGGTCCAAATTACTATTCGTCTACTTTCACGATGTAAACTCTTCGCTTCGGATAAAATCACAGAAGTTTTCCCGTCTTTTTTTCAATATATATCATATATAAAATGGATAAAGTAACTACATTCTAAAAAAATACGCGCGAAAGTAAATCTAGTTTCTTTTGATTAAGACTGTTGTGCCATGTTCCTGATTACTATACAATTTGCATTAGCGTAAAAAGGTTCAAAACAGGAGAAATGTGTATCATAGATTATTTTCGCGCGCTTTTTTCATATTTTATCGCCGTTATTTCTCTGTTCAATAAGTATAGAGTCATCTATTCTTATCCATAAAGAAAATAACCGGAATATTCTCAATGGATTGCTGATAAGTCTAATATTATTTTATTGTTAAATAAATACTATACTGCAAAAATGGATATGGTCACCAGGGTAATGTGTGGGTAATTTTAGGAATATTATATGCATTAAATGTTAAAAATACCATGAGCTTTATATATTGCATAAGTACTAACAATATGCAAATATGATAACGGCTTAGATGAACGACTCTAAAAACAAATCAACATCCTCAATAGTTTTATTATATTATTATTTACTAAAAAACAAATCCTATTTTATATGTAATTTTATTTTTAATTACTAAAACTTGTAAAGAATGCATCTTATTCTCTAATAATTGACTTTTATAAATATTTTATTAATGTATTAAGTCCAACCGTATACCAAACAACTTTGCCAGCATGATAAACTATTATAAAGCTAGCATACCTTGTTATATCTAGATTTTATTAAATTCCTGACTATTAGCAAATTGCCCACCAATATATACTCTTTATATAAACCTTTTTAGAGCAATTTTTAAAGTAACATATATGACAAAATGCTCTATCTATACTGAGACTTTAACTTTGAATTAATAACCATCACAATACTCTTATAGGTCTAAATAATAAATTTGTACATTTTTCAAATTCCAAGTAAAAGATTTTAATGTATTTTTTCTTGCATAGTATTCTAAATGCTTCTGTGTAACTGAAATTGTTAGTCAAACCCACTTAGAATTATTTCCTATATTTTAAATTACAAGTCAGATTGTCCTACTTTTTATGTACATATTACGTTTACATTATTAAAACCTCGTAATTTTACGACCCATATAACTGTCTACAGTTATACTGATTTAAAAAACCCTAGACACGAAAGATAACGGCTGTATAGGCTTAGTCTTTTTGCCTTTATTAAAGGATGAAACGGAACTAATTAAAAGAAAACAAAAGCTATATCAGAGAAATAAATTGTACCTCCCATATTATAAAGGCGCTATTATTATTTGCGTATAGACATTGCCATATGTTGTAATTATTACAATCGACGCCACAACGATATTTCTCTCCTAGTCTCCATCTTGTCTTTTCTAAAATCTCTTAAGTTGTAAGTAACTAATTTTGGTGCTAGAATCACAAATTTTAGACCAAAATATTAATAATAATTTATGCTAATTTTACGTTTGTTTATTTTTAATTAGGATGTTATGTTTTTATTTTTGATGTAATATACTTTATTGAGATTCAAAAATGAAATTTATGCAGGGTTAGGTGTAAATGGAATACCAAGCGAAGAAGAATGCTTGTGAAATTGAACCTTATATACAACGGAATATGGTTAAGTTTCGTGTGGAATTCAAGTGGAATAATGAAAATATATTTAAAACTAATGAACATCGTGTAGTGCAATCAACCGGTAGCCTTGCATCGCCCTGGCTCTTCCGGACGCCATTTCGATCGATCCTATGTCCCATTCAAACCGGTATCGAAATCACTGCCGACTTTGGAACCTCTAATGATTCCCTCAGACTTAAGTTTTATATTATACTATCTCTATGGTTGACTTTTGGCTTGGTGTGTTCTCTACAACCAACCCTGTATAATAACAGAATTGTAAATTTGAAATTCAACTTTATACTAAGTTACTTCTATTTTATGTATAATAAAGATTTGGTAAGAGACCTCTATGATTAATTATATTTTTGTTAAACAATTTTTTTTAAATTATTATTTGGTACCTAATAATTAATAAGTTCATTATTATGAGTTAGTTCTTTATGTACTGTTCAGTTTGATTTTTTTTATTTGTCAGCAAATTGTATGAAAAATATTGTTAGTAAACACACCAAATAATTATGGCAAATGAAACCCATCTACCTTATTTCATTAGTATATTTTTTATAGAAATGCTGTAATATTGATTGTGGATTTTCTTTATCAATTTTCCAAAGAATGTGCGTTATGCTTTAATGAATTTTAAAGTTGTGAATATTTCATTATATAAAAAATTATATGTATTTAAAGTGGATAAAATGGGATATATTTAAATGGTTTTTATTATGTATATAATAGGAAATGGTAGTGTAATTTTATAAGCTTTACAAATGCAAACCAATAACTGTAAGTGCTCTGTATAGTATAAAGAAGTTATAACAATTAAAATTATTGTTATGCTATCAGTGAAAATTTTATGAAAATATTACATTGTCAAGTGAATAAATATATCGCATGGTTAATAAAAAAATATTAAATTTAAAAAACTAATTGTTGATAATTGACTTTAAATTATAATGCAGAACTAAATTACACTAATACTAATCGAAACTACAATAGATAAAAAATTGAAAATTTTATCTATTCTAGTTAACATACTGCAGACAGTCACTGTTTGACATCTTCTCTTTCGGGTGTTTTGTGCACTAACAAATATAAGAAACTATTTCACTACTGTTGAAAAGGTGGCCTCTCGTTATGAAGAGGTAGTCCTTTTCACTCCCGAATAAATGCAGATACATCCTTCTCATCACCTTTTTTCTTTATTAACCCTGATTAATTCACAGAGATAATTCCATTTAGTTCTAAGTTACGCAGAGCTTGTGTTATGGGTTCAAGATAACTGATAGAAATATTGTTTGTTTTTGAAATACATACATAATATACTTAAAAAAGAAAACACCCAGACCGATACAATCAATCATGAAAAGAAAAAAAAAGAAAATCATTTATAACAACTTATGACTTTTTTGTTTATTTTAAGAATTTGTAATAATGCTATTGATCGGTTGTTCTTTTGATTAGTGGGGACATCTTTTTTCTGTATACGTTTGAACTAACCATAAAATATTGTGATTCGTTCATTGTGTGAATTGTTTTGGGTTATTATTATTATTATTAATTAATGAACTGTTGATGTTAGTGTTCTGCAGCGTGTTAATGTAGTTTATTATTAAGCATGTGATATATACAGTCATACTACACACATATTTTGTAAATCTTTCACTTTGCCTCCACTAAGTGCTTAAAATTTGTGTTCACAGGAATGCTTTCCATTAAATATTTATTGATAATGAAAGAGATACTCAGTAAGTGGTTTAGATGTATAAAAGAATATATTACTATTAAGAGGCATAGTTTTTGTTTAATTTTTATTTTTATATAATATCATTTATGTTAATTTTTAATATCTAAGTAACAACGAATTTCAGCGTTTAGCGTTGAACATTATTTTTTTAATTGTCATCAAGTGTCTAATATCCATTTATTACATTAAAGCAACACTGTCATTATCTGAAAAACATTGCTAGCAATGGGGACTAGCCCCTCATTTCTGGCAATACCCCCACCCAAATGCTATATACATAATTAGAATTACATTCGTACCACTATAAAGGTGAAGTTTGACTAAGCGAATGAATACTCATTCTTTAACTTTAGTATAAACAGACTAAGAATAATTTTGTACCTTCTTTTAGTCTTAACTCCACCTTTCTCCTAAAATTACATAGTACATTTACTTTTTTCATAGAATTCAAATTGGTCTATAATTTATTATATCGAGTTTAGTATAATAAATATAAAAATTCGTTTTGTGAAATTTTCTGATGTAATTTATGTACTTTTTGCAGGTACAAAGTCACACAGATTTAATCTAACCGAAACTTCAACATGTTGGTGTAAATATAATAATTAATAGTAATATAAGTTATTTATGTTTCACGTAACTATGTATAAAACTTAGAAATATCAATATAATGTTTATTGTTAGCATTGTTTTATTTTATTCCATAAATATAAATATACTCAGATTGTAAATTATTGAAATTAATATTATCAGGTTTCATTTAATAGTTTGTTGGAAAAATTTAAAAAAACCTTACTGGCTTGCTGTACCTATATATCCTACATTTCCAAATACGGTCATCAGCTCATGGCGCCATCTGTGCATATATACTAGAAACTTACGTTGTTTTGTCTTTGAATAATTGAAGTACGAACGTATATTTCTCTTTCTCTTCGGCTTCTCAGTGTGAAATAAGTAGCACAACGACCCTACATAAAAGGTACCTATAAAATTTTAGAAAAAATTGAAATTTTTTTAAGTTTATATTAAACACAAGTGAAGCTGCGGCTAAAAGACAGTTGTCTAGCATATATAGGTATTATCAGCGAATAAGCCGCGTGAACATAATATTAGTCATTTGCATACAGCAAAGAGTGAAGTATTCCACTAAAATTTAGTTATCCTCAAAAAGTAAATTACTATAATACGATAATTCCTCTGGCATACAGAGGAATTATCGTATTGCAACGTTATTACAAAATTCCATTGCGTTTTTTGCGTTGTCTTTTATCACATTTTCACCGCCATTGGAGAAAGTAAAAAATGTTGTCTTCTATCTCGCTTACACTACTGCGGTTTGCCAATAGCAAATATTATTCCACGTTCTGCGATAAACATTCTCATAGATTTTTTTGACATTGAGAACATTACTCATAGAATTTTTTGAAATTGAGAACAGACTTAAAATGAAGCACCAATATTAAGAAAAAACAAATAACCTTGCTTTTGATTGGTCTGTTGCAAGCTGACTTGAAAGTTGGCAGTTGCTCTTGCTTTGCGATTGTAAATTGTGATTTGTGTTGTGGCTTGTCGAATGAAATCTTCAAGTTTGTTTTGTCTCAAAAAATATGGTATTCATTTTATAAATTTCATATAGCCATGAGATAAATAATCTACAAAAATTCTCACAAAAACGAAATGTAATGTGAATAACGTAAAAACAGAATGAAAGTCAGGCTAGTTGCATTATAAAAATGCGAAGTGATACATTCGGCTCATAGTGGATATCACAGTGAAATTTCAGCAAGGTTTTGTGAAGAGAACCATTGGATTTTATCTTGGAATTGTTACATGTACGCAGCGGGAATGACAATAATGGCAGTTTCTGTTGGAGAAATATGTGAGAACACGAAGCTGGCCAGAGAAATGGCACTAATGGGTAACTACGAATCCGCGCTCGTGTATTATGAAGGGACTGTTCAGATGATCCATAGGCTTTTGATGACTATAGCAGACCCCACACGCAAGTCCAAATGGCAACTGGTAAGTGATGTTCACAGTTTATTTATTAATTTCCAATATTTTTTCATGATTTATCCATGTTTTAGTTACCTTGACCAGTGACATTTCCATATATGATAAGACATGTTAATTAGTGTGCCTTTGAAGGGAAGGCGGAAGGCCACCCGCCAAGTTAAGTTTTCTTAATGATGTTGTATATCTTGATAATTTTAAATCAATTGTGACAGTTGTTTATTTTTTAATAACCAATTTTGTAGCACATGTACTACATTTTTTATATGTGCCTAGACTTTAGACACTTGCAAAAAATTATCTAAAATATAGATAAGTACTCAATTGTCTATTTACAATTGATTGGAAAAACAATCAAATTTATGTAAATTTAATCAGCACAGATTTTAGGATAATGTTGTTGATATTAAAAAAATAAGGAAATTGTTTATATTGTACTTAGTCAGTATATTAAATAATGAACTAAAATTGTTTATTGTGTACCACATATTTAGTAAACAATCACTTTATTGTGGATGACTTATGAGAAATGGAACACAGAAAATGTGTTTATTTTCTACATTACAATCTAAATCAAAGAGAATGAAATGTGAGCTTGAATAATAACTTAATCTATATATTTATTTTAAATTATATAATTACTTATAAAAGCAGAGTAAGCTCAGGAGTCAGTTGAGGGAGATTCTGCTCAAACTCCAAGTAATGAGCTGAGTACTGGGTGGTCTATCAGTTTTGCGCTTTACAATTCTCTCATGATACAATCAATTCAATTTCATATCTAGAAAAAAGAGTATGTATATATTTTTATCAGTAATTTACTACAAGCTCTGCTTAATTTTGGATGATTGATTGATGATTAATCATTGGCACATTTGCCAATGATTAAAAAATCAGTAATGTTATATTAAAAATAAAAATTTTACTTTCTATATGTTGTTATCTAAATTACATAAACAGATAATAGCAAGTTTATTACATTAAAATTAAATAATACAAAAAATATTTTTGATGTCAACTATTTACTAACATAATAATTATCCTTTTTTCCTTTTTTATATAAATAATAAATAAAGGATGAAAATTCAGGTGAACTGTTTTTTTTGTGTGTAATATACACACATATAACTTTTACTTTGAGTCAATCAAGTTAAAATTTCAATTTTAGTGTTACAATGTTGTGCTAATTTTAATTTTACATAAATTTTAATGGAAAATATCAAAGCACATTAAAATCTGTTAGATAATTTATGTAAAAGAGCAAATACATGTCTTTATTTCTTTCTAATTCGTTTTGTTCTTACATAATTTTTAGTCCAATTTTAAGCCAATTTATTATCAAAATAGTTTCTTCCTGTCTTTAATTCTATAATAATTTTATTCAAATTTCAACATGTTCTATTGTACAAAAATTTTAAATAATTTAAAGTAATACAATATTCTGCAATGCATCCTGTGAAATTTGCCTTAATTTTAAAAGAAACTGGTTTCAAGTTATTTAAAAATGTGACAGACATGTTTTAAGTGAGCCTGTCAGTTGACTAATGAAGATTAATTTGCCTCAGGTCAATGATACCCTTGCTGAATCATTAAAATTCAACTGTACTCTATGTACCCACTCCCACACACATTTCTAATTATATGTGTGTATGTAACATTTGAATACACTCATTTGTCAGCCATTTAGGTATAACAGCTGCAGTTTTTTTATTGATTACTATTTAAATTAATTAATAATTGGAAACCAGCAGTGCTGTACATTAAATGTCTTCTCAAACAATCTTCAAAAACCACTAAAACTTCATATTTTAGTTAAGATACTATATTATTTATGATTTATGTTTATCATATCAATAGTTTCCATAGATTTTGTTCATATCTATTTGTGTGTATGTATGCTAATCTCAGAAACTGTTTATTCAATTAAAATGCCCTGTATAGTAGTGTATTCTAACAAATTTCCTGTAACATTAAGTGTTTATTTCCTGTAACATTTAATGTTATAAACTTCATTGTTATTTTGAATGATACTGGTATTTAGTTGAGGGTTACTCTTTTCAATTAAAGTATAAATAATTTCCCTTTTCACACATTTTCACAGACATATGTATATACCTTGGTCATATGACCAATCATAAATTTAGTCATTCATATATTTAAGTTTACTAAGTAACAATTATTTAGGAAATATTTTATTATTTAAAGAAATACTTAATATTCAGAAATATTTTAGTTATTTGTATTAATTATATTAATAGGAAATAAAATATACCCATGACATATGTGTGTATATCAGAAAAATATACACATCTACATTTAGAATAGGTTTGAATCACAAATAGATTTTTCCAGTGTTTGCAGTAGTGTAGTGTAAAAAGTGTAGTTTCACTAAAATCTGGTGTTTATAAACTATGGTAATCACTAATGGTGTGTATGCTCATTTCTCATTGTGGTGTAAAAAAATTTAATCATATATATTTTGTTGAATAATATATTGTAAATTATACTACATAGTATTCTCTGGACTACATAATACTCCATGCTGCAGAAACCTTTAAGTAGCTTATTTTTTTTATTTTTAACCTTTTACATTTAAGTATGTTTGTTTTTTAGAGGTTCACATTGATGGGGTATTGAAATGAGATCAATTGGCTAATAGTATCAAAATTAAAACAATGGTTTTCAGGAGATATCACATAATACCTGATAGTAAACATTGCTTTAAAATTTTCTAGCTTTCCTATTTCAGTTAAAAATTTATTATAAAAATTGGTGTTTATCTGATAAACTTCAAGGAACTTAATCATCCAAATTTGAAATAGTTTTTCAAGTTCCTTCAATAATATGTAAACAGTTTCTTGATTCATGTCAGTAACATAAATACCAGAAAGAGCGCACCACATTTTTATCAAAATTGTCTTATTTATCTTGGCTATTTTAGTGATACCGTCCATACAGTCGCATCACAAATATTATGCAAATATTTTGTAGTCTGTCTTATTTATTATTTACTAGTTCTGATTACAAACGTCTTTGGACATGTGGGACAACACTGATGATGCTAAATCACTGTAACAAAGTACAAGTTGGTTATTGTGTGATTTTTTAACTTTGCGTCACATCATCATTGTTTTTGCGACTGTAAAGATATATTCCTTTCCTTCCCAAATAAATGGGCTATCCAACACTAAACTAATTTTCAGAACCGGATCAGTTACACCGGAGTTATTATTACCCCGAATGTGCAAACTCACAAACTTTACCCTTTTGCTGATAGATGAGATGGCAAACAAGCCAATGGCTCATCTAGTGGTAAATGGCAACAGTCTTCTTTAGACATGCAGCGCCACGGTCAACACGTCACCATGTGACACCCGTAGGAACCCTCTTACTAGGATGTAATGACTCCGCATCCATGTGATTTCACTGCTATATCTCGTTCAAACAAAACGCAATTTAGACAGTACCTACTTTGCAATTGCCAGAAATCATGTTTCAGCCAGAAACAGATGTACCTACATACCTACTTATACACAAGGGGTTCCATATTGTTGCATGTGACTGTACCTATTCAATTGAATGTGCACGCTACTTGCTTGTGCTTACATAGGTGTGTTATTGTGATCGATAAACCTGTGTTCTCGAGGTGAAAACCAACGGTCTTTACTCAATCGCGTTCACCCCAGACAATGAAGTAATTCTGATTAAAAATTTCCGCAACTGATTCCATTTCAATTTGTACCACAGATAAAATAATATTTGTTCTAGATAGATTTGTCGGCAAGTAGTAACCAACAGTACAAAAACAGTTTTTATCTTAACAAAAAAATTAGTACATCTCAAAGTTCAGTAAATGTTTTTATTTATACTAAAGACGTTCGTTTTCTTCATTCTAATCGCTATCGATTTTTAGATTGTAAGCACTAAGTTGTGCAATTGCGTTTAGTATTTAGTTCAATAACAAAGTATGATAATAAAAGTTTAAACTTTAGTTAGAGTAAGTAATGCCACTGGCAGCACAGTTTTTTTAGTTACAGTCATAATTACTTTAATATATTTTGTTCACAATATAATCATTTCCTAAGTTAATAAAGAATCCATTCCTTGATGATAATTTTACTAGAAAACTCTTTATTAGGGAAATAAAATTAATCTTTATCCATATAAATCTTATTTTTGATTGTATAAGGGAATTATTATATTGCTAAATGACATTATAGTCAACGTAGTATATCGTCGATAGTAGTCGATAAACATTTTTCTTAGCATTCAATTTCAAATTAGTTCAAAAGAAACGAAAATTATCAGATATCATCAAAAAATGGGACTGTCATTTACTGAACATGAACTGGTGATTTTTTTTGTCGAGTCTATTTTGCTAGATACTGCGACCTGATAAAAACTCCACGACATTCATCGACAAGTTTTTCTCTCGATGGCTTTCGAAATTTGTAACATTACGTTTTCTATGACTTTGTAATTAGTTACAATCTATGCCTGTAATCATGAAATGTTGCACGTTTAACTAACGGAACGCGGGCTAATCGTCTAATCGACTGTTACAAATCGATCGAGGGCTGTAATTAAATTGTTACACTTTTACTGATAGAACACGAACCACTTCACGCATCTCCATACATGCATGCATTTACATATTGTTACCACGTAATAATGGTCGTATGCACAAAACATCTAATCGATAGATTTCATCTCTCAATTGCATTCCAAATGTATCGATCGTTCACGAACATTCTAATCTACGTAAATGACATCATTTAAGACTTATTACAGAGCTTTAATTTAATTTTCGCAATTAATAGAGGCATTATATTAAAATTATAGTATTAGTGGTTAATGTAGTGGGTGACATCACACCCGTAGCTCCGGCAATAGGCGGTAGAGGTACACCTTGGAGTTTTAGCCGGTAGGAGACCAGCAGTACCAGCTCGTTACCCCTGGAGCGGGCGGGTCTCCATTATGGATTTCTCCAATAATTGTTATATTTTAGTAAGGGCTAATTATTACATTTTAATCTTTATTTTACAATGAAAGTTTAACATTATGGTCGCATGTTTATCGTCCTCTCGTCTTATTCTTCAATCTTCCTTTTACTTTGGCCTCTATTCTTACTATATTTCTTAGATATTACTTGACAAATGATATCAGACTTTTTACAAGTAACGGAAATGATTCATTTTATTATTTTGTTTTGTGTATATCACCACACGCAGAACTGTTCTTAGTGTTATGTCATAATCATTATCAATACGGTCGTTAGCAATCTCGACGAAGTCGAGATCGTGCCCGAAACACCATCGGATTTGCGAAAAACCAGTTTGCGATACTCAGAAATACTTTCTACATACAAATGCAATTGGACTTTTTTATATACACTGGGTCTGGATTCAAGTTGTGAAATGTAGGTACACTTTGTTTCAATTGGCTATTTAAAGTTCTGTAATATGTATTAAGTTACCTCTATCACAAAATATTATTATCACGCCAAAATATTTCTTTTAGTGTCATTTGTAAATTTATCTTATTGATTGCTTACGGTGTGTTATGATGCGTTAATGCTTTACAATAAGTGGATAAATTTGAATGTTAAGGTAAAACTGAATTACCATTCAAAATGCCGGCCTGTTACATAATAACTTTATCAATACTATTGATAAGATCTCTAAGATAAGTCTACTTATGTAAAGTTTACTAAATCATCTAAATTATCAAGCGTCTTGCCCCTCACAGTGCTCGAGATAACCTTCCAAATCAACTTGTATAATCAATATTCAAGCCCTGCCGATTTTAAAGTATTTATTTGTAAATGTAATGTAAATCATAACCAAAAAGTTTTTTATTTCGTCTTTGACTTTACCATTTACATTCTATCATACTTAACAATTTGATAAACGATCACTTTAAAGGCCTTAGGACCCCTTTTGATCATAGTCTAATTTCGTGTCTGGATGTCCGCCAAGCATTTGTTCTATCAGTCATGTTCGTTTTATATTGTTAGGCAAATGTACCACGTTAGCTGACGCCGCAGGTCGTCGAACTTGCTTCAATGGAATATTGGTCGCCTAATGACGCATTTGGGGTGAACCGAGTCTATTCTATTATCTTGAAACAAAATTCATTTCGAATTGTAAGCCTTAAAATTATTTGTGTAAAGTATAGAATCCCGTAGACAGTCCAGAAAAGGAAAGGTGCTTATTATTTATCATTTATGTGGGTGGCTGCTTTAATTACCGTCACAACGACCTTCGCATGTTATTCAGATCAGTGCGATTAGTAATTCCATGATTCTTAGGAAAGTGGGTCAAGGTGTACATTTTGTTGAAAATAGGTGAAAACTTATAACAAACTTGTGATGGCACGGTATTAGCCGCAGTTGCTCAATTTGTGTTTCCGTGTGGGAAGCACATGACGTATTCATTGTGTACCTTTGTCATATTGTGATAATCGCGTGAGATATCGAAATTTCACTTTTGTGGCCACAGTGTTGGAATTAATTTATCGTGAAAGGAATTAATCTGTGACGTATCAATTTCCGTCTTAGATGATGTGTGACGCTTTTTGTTTGGTTCTTGGAAATACTGGTTGAATTCTCGATTTACGCGGTACATTGCGTTCCGTTTAGCACCATTGTGATGTGTTGATGTGTGAGTAACTCATTGTAGTCTTCATTACTTGCAAGAAAATTGAAAAGATAGGAAATTGTCCATTATAACGCGTGTAATGTAACATGTTAACCTCGAGTAACCCGTCCTGTGATAGTTTAAACCGAATAATTATCTATTGGAAATAATTATATTTTGTGTACTAAATGGGCACAATGCAATTCTTTAAAAATAAGAGGCTCTAGTGCCTACTATACGAGATGAAAGATCGATTACACTAAGAAAAGGCGACTTATATGTATGCAACATGTTCTTGCCATATATGAAGAATATGACCTTCACTCTGGCAATGTTGAATGCAAATTAATAAAAAAATTAAAGTCATATCTCTTTTGCTCTAAGAAGAATTGGTTTCTCTAGAGTTGTACAGTTGTTTGTTTTTCTCCCGAATGGCTAGTTAAAATTGTATATGATAAAACTTTTAGATTAATTATAATTAATAGACTTATCAATCCTTTTATTTAAAACTGATATTTTGATTGTACAATAAAGTATTATAAACAAAAATAACCTTTAATAAAGTATGATTGAATTCGTTACTAATTCTGTATAATATTTTTGATGTTATTTATCATGTAATGACTATCCCGTCTTTGGTAATGCTTAACGCTTCGAGTTATCCAGTGGAGAATCACAAATGAGATTAAGTCACTTAGCCCATAGTTACCAGCTTTATATCCAAAGGACGATGTTAAAATTGATCTGTACAAAAAAATACTAGCAATAGAGACTAGTCCACATTAATATCATTATACCTAATTCCTTCTAACAATAGGATGTCTCAACCAATTGTTGTTAACATAATGTATTTGATTGTAGGTCCAAAAGCAAATGGCTCGTGAGTACGAACAACTCAAGGCGACGGTGGCAACGCTGCAGATGTTCCAACACGAAGGGGAAAAAGCTATTACGCCTCTAACAGGAAGTAAGTGAGACAATTTATTTTAGTACATCTTCGTATTCGTATCAACCATTTGTACTATCGTCGGGATACACCTTTCAAACATAGGAATAGAAAATTATTTTTTATAAGGGGTTTGGGCTATTACTCGTTTATTTTTTTAAGGTTCATTAATGTTTAAGGGATGATAATGAAATGATGAACCCGACTGCGCTAACGGTATACATAATTTTTAAGTGTACATATGATAATGGGATGCACCCGTCTGCGCTATAACGGTTTACGCTGGCGGGGCACCAGTGGAGGATGATAGAATGAACATGAAGTCAGGTTTGTTAACCCATCGTGATAAATTCACCGGGAATTTATCACAATTGTTTCCAGGGGGGACCGCTTGGAGGTCAACCTGACATGGGTACATTGCTAGCAATGGGATCATCAGTCTCATTACTAGCATACCGTTCCCCCCACGCTAACGGTATGCGCTGGCGGGGTACCAGTGGAGGATGATAAGACGAACATGTGATCGCCGTTTTTTTTATTGTTGTTGCCAGGGATAAGAATTGAAGAATATTCTCCTGAGCTATGATTTTAGCTACTCAGTATAGTGTGTACTTTTCAAAACAGATATATCGTCTGTGCAGGAGTAAGTTCCAACCAAATATGATGTGTAATGGCGTTTTCTCTACCATTTGGCAAAATCTGTAAATCTTTGCTAAGTACAGACCTTGCCATGTGTTTATTTAATTTGCAGTGACCAATGAGAGTCCTAGTCACGATGCATATTTTTTTTTTCTCAAAAGCATCAGTCTATTGTATTATTGATTCTATTTTTTATTGGATTCGATTCCTTATTTGGGCTTTTGAATGTATTAATCCTACCATTTTGGACATGTGATTTGGTACTTATGGCGAATGATATACAGTTATATCCCTATATACAAGACATTTGACGTAGTTCCACTGACTAGTACGCGGTCGCCGTACATTGTTACCGCGGTAGACTTTCTAAAAAGTGGTCTGCGTGGGTACCTCAGTCTCACCTATTCTAACCTCTAATCAGCATGCTTCGTAAGAAGTGTTTCAGTTGAAGGGCGAGATAAGGCAGTGCATTACAGAATACTTAAGCATCAATCACATGTTAGTCCACGGGAATGGCAAAACCGGAGTAGTAGTATCATGGGCGTCAGATTATTACGAAATGTCCGTAATGCAGTTCATGTATGTTTAATTGCTTTTAATGGCATTTATATAATTTGAAAGTCATATTATATAATTTGTGGATATTAAATAAAAAGGCGACAATTATCACTTATAATGATGCGGGTCGGTAACTTGTTTACCATTTCAATAACATAAAAAGTTAAAAAAGTAATTAAAAAGATTAAAATTGTGAACTACACTGTTCCCAATATTTGGTATATATGGGATATCGTTGAGTATACACACCTCTAATTACACTGTTCCCAATATTTTTGAAAGGAATGGGGTGGTCATTGGTCTATAACTAACAGATTACGATGCAAACCGTCGACCGTTGCCTGTATGTATTACAACTGCTATAACAAAATGTGTATTAAATTTTGTCTATAGTACTATTATAATACCGACTTTAGAATGACTTTTTTATGTCACAACTGTATTTTATTGTTTTATTCATATTTTACTATCCGTATGGTTTTCTTTTTGCCTTTCTCATATTCAATATCATTTTTATTTATAACTCGTTATTGTACCTTTACAAAATAAAATAGAATATATATACATAGTGCATAGGTATCGTAAAGGCGGTCTTATCGATTAAGCGATCATCACAATTTATTGTATTTTTAACAAAATTCTAAGTCTAATGATTATAGTTTTAAATGAAAATTATTAATCGAATCCTGCTTGTAGTCAGTAGAACAGTATTCGTTAATATTAAATTGGTACATGATAGGGATCAGCGCATATAGAGCATGAAATTATCTCAAGTTATTCCACGCTAGACCTACGCCTTTTTGTACTATTGTAGTTACATATTACGTTTCAGATAGGGATGTTCGATTTTAGAAAAACATCGATGTTGATATATTTGTCAATATGGAATTGCGATAAATATCGTATTAGAAATGTCGATGTCAGTAAACGTTGTTTTTTTTTATTTCAAATAGACTTTTTTTAACTTTTCGTTCACTTTTATTTTATCACTTTTAGACTTTTTTAATATCGATATTTTTGGATTGAACATCGATGTACCAATCGATTATATCTATCCATGTCTAGTCGACACCCGTTGTGGTTCTGGCGTCTAAAGGCTACGTTAATCATTTACCATTAGAAGCTTCATTACTATCGTGGTTTAAAAAAATATCGAAATAATAGTGAAATATGTATCAAAATCTTTTGCGTGCTTTAGAAGAAGGGATCGGAGAAACAAACTGACAAAAACTGCAAAACTTCGCATTAATAATTAATAATATTTATTACGTATTATTGTAGATTACGTCAGTTACGTCAAATTGAGTCCGTAGTAGATGTGACAAAAAAATGTTTACACTTCTGATTTGCATGTTTATGATGTAACCCCCACGCTTTTAGCGCATTTGGAAAACTATATTTTTCGTTTTATTGCTCTATCTACATATTACTTATAAAACAATAGAAAAACATACAGAGGATTACGCGGACAAAATCTTCAAAATGAGTCTATGCAAACATTAGAATAGCAGAGAGGGGTGGACTCACTGTCTCCTCTGAGTTATAGACCGTTTTGTCAATTTATTACTTTTAATTTTTATTATAAACAGCAATTGTCTTAGTTTATTATTAGCTATACATATAAATAAAATTGGAGTGTCTGTTTGTAATATAAAAATAACCGTTTTTTACTACATGCATGTGAATATAAATACGGTACATACAGCATAATAACATTTTTTACAAAATTTGTCTGGCTGTCTGTTTGTTTCCGCTAATCTCTGAAAAGGCTGGACCAATTTTGACGGGACTTTTTTTGGCAGGTAGCTGATGTAATAAGGAGTAACTTAGGCTACTGTTATATTAGTAAAATAAAGTTAAATTCCACGCCGACGAAGTCGCGGGTACAGCTAGTTACAAATAAAGATGATTATTATTATTTGCTTGCAAATGCGCCATAGTTAAATCATTGTTACATAGATTTATATAAAAAATATTTTGTTTTTAGTCTCTGACGCAGGCCTGATTTAATGTTTAAGTTTCGTTAAAGTTTTCCCACATGCTGTATTCATACAAATTTGATGTTTTTTTTTTAAAGTTAATATACTTATCAATACGATGTGAGTACCTACGGCTTGTTCTAAAGTGGAATCAAGTATGTTTATATTTGTATCGATAAAAATGTGTAGGAGATTATCTATTTTTGTTATCACAATATAATGTCAGGGTAAACTTTTCTCACCTGATCTCCTGATATCATTCGTAACTATCATCATCATTAGCATAATTTCGCAGCTTCGGTAGAATTTGATAGATAATCAATTTATCTTAATACTAATAACACAGGCTATGAATAATACAAGTATAATTAAACGAAGTAAGTATTGTGTTTGTTAGTTAGTATAACTTGTGTGAAGTAATTATGATAATTAATCTCAAAAAAGAATTGATTTCGATTCCTCGCGCAGTGCAAACTTTGTATTCATGACTATGATTGTTTGTATTGGTTTGGGTGTTTTATGTGTATATTAGGATGGATTTACAAAAAAGTAGTATATCAGTTATCTAGTAGGGAAAAATCTTGGGGCAGTTGATACGACACGACGAAATAATAACATTATTGAAGGAAAAATAGATGGAGAGAGAGGAAGGGGAAGACCAAGACACAGCTATATCAAGCAAGTTAAAGTAAAAGTTGGAGTCGTGTCGTATCAACAGCTAAAAAGACTGATAGAAGATCGTGGAAGGTGGCGGGAGCTTCACCAACAAGAGCACAGCTCTTAAATTATGAATGAATGAATGATCTAGTATCCATAACATAAGCTCTGCTTAGCTTGAGACTGCATGTCGCCGCGAGGATTGTCCAGAATTATTTTACATTACTGTAATATAAAAAAAACTTAATGCTTTCTCTTCTTAAAGTATGATTTAAAACATGCAATACATATTCTACAAGCTAGAAATATCTGCCATGAATATGCAATAACGTAATTAATTAAATAATTATGATCACACCGTTTTGGATGAGTTTCCGATTGGCAGCTATTGTGTCAAGTGACATAAGCGGTGAAGCCTAAGTTGAATAGTGAATCGAAGGTCGACGCAGAGCCGATTACATCGACTTAGGTCTGATGACGCGAATGTAACCTACTCTTTTTGTAGACAGACCAAGAATAGTGCGGTTCGTGTGTTTTGAATATCGTTATGCGTTTCTAAGCTTGAATCTTGATTCTTTCTTGATATGACTCTTAGTACTGAAACCGTTGGTAGAGTAATCTTTCCATACTTATATTATTGTACTAGCATATTACCCGCGAATTCGTCCGCGTTAAATTATTTTTTTATTAATATAATAAAAATTCTTAAATATAATTAGTCTAAGTTACTTTTATGACATTAGCTATTATATCTGCTAGTGAAAGTTTCGAAAAAACCGGTCGTTTCAAAAATTAGATAGATGAAATACATAGAAAGGAATTAGGCTTGGTATAAAATATAGGCTAATCTATCATGATTATGCTAAAAATAGTGAATACTAATTAAACATATTTGTTTACACAAACATTGGCAGTTGTTTACTTTTAAAACGTATTGAATTACCAATGTCGTATTTCCTTAAATGTCGAACTGTATGTCAACCTTATAAGCATTTTATTTGTCGATTTGTCACCTGTAATGACACATACCTGTAAAACATGTGTGTGTGTGTGTGTATGTTATCTTCTACTACAATCTTGACTTACCTACTCCAGCGTTCTAGGTTACGTTGATTACTTATAAACACGTCCTTACGTACAGTCATGTAACATATTAGATGGTAGCGATTTCAAATATATCATAGTATT